ACAAAATTATTTCAAGCCACTTGCCACTATTTTGGACTGACAGAGACAGATGGACAAATCGATGTTAAGTAAAATGGCTGAGAAAAAAAAACAGATATAATTTTTTGCCAATTATTTGGAACAAAATTATTTCATACAACTACTCTTTACAGTGACATGGCTTTTTGCAATGCAAGACACCTGAAATTATTTGTAAAGCTAGGAAATAGGCCAAAATTGAATTTCGCGAGACAAAAATGGCGACCATTTTGAAATCAGGCAAGCTTTTGAACCAGGAATCATAGGGGAGTTTTTTTGTATTGATGTTGAACAAAAATAATGTGAAAATGGAATCCTATCGAGCCTATCGACAGAGGTTTTAAGCAAATGGTTCAAAAGAGGATTTCGCGAGACAGATGGACAAATCAATGTTAACTAAAATGGCTGAAAATAAAAAAACAGATATAATATTTTGCCGATTTTTTGTAACAAAATTATTTCATACAACTACTCTTTACAGTGACACGACTTTTTACAATGCAGGACAGCTGGAATTATTTGTAAAGCTAGGAAATAGGCAAAAAGTGAATTTCGCGGAACAAGAATGGCGACCATTTTGAAAATAGACGAGCTTTTGAACCAAGAGTCATAGGAGAGTTTTTTGTATTGATGTTGAACAAAATTAATTTAAAACGGAAACCCTATCGACAGAGGTTTTAAGCAAATGGTTCAAAAGAGGATTTCGCAAGACAGATGGACAAATCAATGTTAACTAAAATGGCTGAAAATAAAAAAAACAGATATAATATTTTGCCAATTTTTTGTAACAAAATTATTTCATACAACTACTCTTTACAGTGACATGGCTTTTTACAATGCAGGACAGCTGGAATTATTTGTAAAGCTAGGAAATGGGCAAAAAGTGAATTTCGGGGAACAAGAATGGCGACCATTTTGCAAATAGACGAGCTTTTGAACCAAGAGTCATAGGAGAGTTTTTTGTATTGATGTTGAACAAAATTAATTTAAAACGGAAATCCTATCGACAGAGGGTTTAAGGTAAATGGTCCAAAAGTGGATTTTGCGAGACAGATGAACAAATCAATGTTAACTAAAATAGCTGAAAATAAAAAAAAAGGATATAATTTTTCGCTGATTTTTCGTAACAAAATTATTTCATACATCTACTCTTTACATTGAAATGGATTTTTACAATGTAGGACACTTGAAATTATTTGTAAAGCTAGGAAATGGGTCAAAAGTGAATTTCGTGAGACAAAAATGGCGGCCATTTTGAAAATAGGCGAGCTTTTGAACCAGGAGTCATAGGGGAGTTTTCTGTATTGATGTTGAACAGAAATAACTTAAAACAGGAATCCTATCGACAGAGGTTTTAAAACGTGCCACTGTTATTGACGGAAAGTGGATTTCGCGAGTCAGATAGACAAATCAATGTTAACTAAAATGGCTGAAAATAAAAAAATGGATATAATTTTTCGCTGATTTTTTGTAACAATATTATTACATATATCTACCCTTTACATTGACATGGATTTTTACAGTGAAGGACACCTGAAATTATTTGTAAAGCTAGGAAATGGGTCAAAAGTGAATTTCGCGAGACAAAAGTGACGGCCATTTTGAAAATAGGCGAGCTTTTGAACCAGGAGTCATAGGGGAGTTTTCTGTATTGATGTTGAACAGAAATAACTTAAAACGGGAATCCTATCGACAGAGGTTTTAAAACAAATGGGTCAAAAGTGAATTTCGCGAGACAAAAGTGGCGGCCATTTTGAAAATAGGCGAGCTTTTGAACCAGGAGTCATAGGGGAGTTTTCTGTATTGATGTTGAACAGAAATAACTTAAAACAGGAATCCTATCGACAGAGGTTTTAAAACGTGCCACTATTGTTGACGGACGGACAGACGAACGGACAGACAGACGGACAAGTGAGTGATTGCAAAAGCTCACCATGTGAGCTAATAATAATAATAAAAAAGACCAATAAGGAAAAGAGGTATCAAAATGTTCTCTTTGAGTGTTGCATTGGTAATTATTCAAGAACACATTCCAGTAAAAATATAATTTGTGGGGGAATGTTCAATTATTGCAATAATTATGATAGATTCCATTTTCTATTAAATCACAACTGTTTGTCCAAGAAAAAAAACTGCATCTCTCCTCAAAAAACTGAGTCTCTTGAAAAAATGTTCCTGGGAATTCAAAGTCACGCTTTTACACTAACTGAAATAAAATTGATGAAATTTTGTTTCGCTTTTGCTATTTATCGGTCTAAATCAGTGTTTTGGCGAGTCTAGTATGTCATTGAATGATACAGATACCATCACTTGTGAGGTATAACTTATATTCAACCATTAGAAACACATTTTCTTTGCGTATTTCGAAGCAATTAGCTATTGATTTTGCTTTAGTTTAGGGGCAATCTGTTCGAGGTTCAATTTTTTGGTTTAGTTTTTTGAGCATGCGCATTCTTAAATAATGATCTTGTGATCGCACTTGACCAATAGAAAATGGTTTAAATCGGGTCTTCAGCCAGCGGCCAATCATAAGACTCGTACTGATTACTGCTCGGATATTGAGTACTGGATAACTATTTGTCCTATCACATGCCTCGTACTATTTCGATCAGAAATCAACTTCCAGGAAGGAAACTTCGAAAGAAAATTTGATTTCTTGAAGAAATAGAATTTCCTTCAATTATTTAGTGGATTCACGAAGTGATTACGAAATTCAAATTGCGTCCCAAAAACGTAATTATTTTTTTTAATTTACGTCTACCCAATCTTGATTTACGTCCTCTCCATTGAAGGACGCCGTTAATGAAATCACTGAATCATCAAGATGTATGCAGATAATCATGTTTTTAATTTTTGGTTATTTCTTAAAATCATACATGAAAAGCGCAAAATAAGATTTTCCTTGGAATGTGTACAGGAAGCATTTCTTGTCCAATTTTGAAAACCTTTTACAGTGCTTTCAGTAGGCTTGTCCAAAAGTGCTTCCCTGGGACGGATTGGTTTTCCAAAATTGCGTCCCCCCTCAAAAAAGTGCATCCCCATGAAAAAAGGTTCCCGGGAATTCAAAGTCACATTTTTGCACTGAACGAAAAAAAATTGATGAAAAGTTTGCATCAGTTTTGTTATTTTTTGGCCCAGATCAGTGTTCTACACACGTCTAGTAGGTCATTAAATGATGCAGATACCTTCATTTGAAAGAGATAACTAATATTCAACCATTAAATACCATTTTCTTTCGCGTATTTCAAAGCAATTTGCTATTGATTTTGATCGTTCAGAAAGTTTCACTAGGAGCAATCTCCGCGAGGTTCCATTTTTTGGTTCAGTTTTGTTGCGCATGATTAGTTAAAATTATTAAGACGCATGCGCGATTGATAATCGCGGCTGATCATAGGACTCGTACCGATTACCGCTCGGAAATCAACTACTAGTGATTGTCCTATCACATACCTCATACTATTTTGATCGGAAATCAACTTCCGGGAAAGAAACTTCGAAAGAAAATTTTATTTCTTTTAGAAATAGAATATCCTTCATTTATTTAACGGATTTTGACCAAATAAAAGAAGGTAAGATCTTTATCAATACATTCATCCAGAGTTGATTTTTTGATATGACCTGCACTGCGTCCAAGTGACCCCTCATTTTCATTGTTTGGGGTCCCTTTTAGACTGTATCCTTCGTCTGAATAAATTCAGACTGTAAGTCACCTATTGTAAAATGTGGTGTTGTATAAATGTTACGAATAAGTTTGTTTAATGATAAAATGATTACCTTATAAAGAACTTACAATATTATTTTTTCGGATATTGTCCTCTTACTGAAGATATTCATAAAATGTACAGACGCTTCTTGTAGCGAAGCCATTGATTAGGTCAAGCCATTTTGGCAATGCCAATTCTCACGATAAACGAGATTTAGCCAGTGAGGTCAGTCTATTTGTAAACAAATAACACGTGGAGCGGACGGAGCAACATTACGGAAGCGTATTGATAAATTCCATTTTTGCGGGAATTTATTAGATCTAGTCATTTATTATCATTATCCCGATTAATTTTCGTCATTTATAGTAAATAGAGCGGAAATATTCATGAAGAAGGTTGAGGTAATCAAGTGGTCATGTGTTGTCAAAGTTCAACAATTTGCATATCTCGTTTGGATCTCGTGAACTCAAACGTCCTTGACATTGATTTCGCGATGTACTTATGAACACATCCTGAAGTTTTGGTGAGTCTGAACATTTCATTATTTAATATCAACTTGTACCCGCCTTATACAAATATTTTTGCTTCTAGTTTAAGATGAACATCTCTTAAACATATTCACCAATTTTCAAGGTGAACATTCTTGTAATAAACGAGAAATTTGTGTGCAAAAAATTTCACCGCAATTTCCACAGGAAATATATCAATCATAACAGACCGAATATTATATTCGGTCTGTTGGATACATACTAGGGTCCCTTTAGTAAGAACCGGGTCCTCTCCATTATGGGACGGCGTTAATGAAAGCACAGTTTTACAATGCTTATGTATGAAATAGGGGAAGTTGCCTACCCTTCTATTGAAAGGCCATGGAATAACTGAGCAAGCAATATGATTTAGCATGATAATATACATTTATCATAATTTAATCCATAATTCAATGTTGATAAGATAAAAGCAGGCTACTTTATCCAGATATGGGATATTTTTTACACTGTCATGCAAGTTTGTGCACGATCTGACACTGATGTACACATTGACATTCTTCATGCAAACTGCGAATTGAAACTTGAAAGCATCAGATACTGAGTCAAATTTTACAACAAAAGTTAAAGTCTGAAATGACATCACAGCTTCTACACACATTTTACTAAAGCTGGGCTGACAATCAACCCCTGGGCCTGGCATCTTGAAGACAAAGGAATTTGACATTGAATTTCATAACAGAAGTGTAACCACTTTCACATGGTAACATATCAAAACAAAAAAATAATATACCTTCAGCTGTATCCATATCTTCCACCTCACTGTGGTTGTTCAGTTTATCAAATTTTACATCATTCATAGTGCCGTTTCCCGGTGAGCTCAGTTTTTTCGTTTGGGTTTTTTGCGGAGAGGTGACCTGTCGATCCTTGTCCGACGAGTTGTTTTTCTGAGAAACGGTCACCTTCACGTGCTTACTTGCAATCCGCCCAATGTCTGCAGACTTTCCCCTACCACAGGGGATGGCGACACTACAGGAAAATTGTATATATCAGCAATTTTTTGCAGAAAATGACATTGAATTAAAAATAGGCAAAATGGCGGAAAATTTAGCGATTTTTCAAAATCGTAAGCGGCCAAAAATGTAATGCCAAACTTTTTCGGTATAAGATTTAGAGAAATCATTTTATATCAAGACTTTGAGTGTTTTATTTTTAAAATCCCTTATATCATATCCTATAACAGAATCTATTATTTGACATATAAAAATATGAAAGTGTCATTCGGGCCAGTTTTCAAGATATCAACGAAAACCTCAGAGCAATGCTATTATGTTTACTTCCTGTGCGCATGCGTATTAGAAAATATGGGAAAATCGAATTTTCAAAATTATATTTTTATTCTCACTTTTACAGTTGTTACCGACACTAACGCAACAATTCAACAATTTGTCAACTCCAGGTATTTTTATTTCTATATTTTGAAGTACATCTTCTCAAATCTCACTCTTGTCTATGGTCAGTGTGAGTGAACAGAAGCCCCCTCTATGTTATCTAATCTATAGGTTGAACTACTATAAGTGTGAAAAGAAGTTTGAAAACGAAAGATAGGTTGAATAAAAAAATCATTTATGACTTGTTTTGTTTACCTTACTTTACCAAGCTGACAGAAGTCTTTTGAGCCAGCTGTGTTCAGTAATGTTTACCCATGGGTTTTCAATTGAATGTCCGTGGTTTACTTGATTCTTCTGGCACGCCTAAATTTATCCCGTTCCAGGACTAAAGTCCTGTACTGAGCGCATACATTTGCCTGTACGATTACAACTTGGAAGAATTATCTACGCCCTGGAACGGGATAAGCCTAAATCACAAGATTTGGTTTTATTCCATAACCAAAAATTCAAAACACATAACAGGGGATCGTGCACAGATGGCATACATTTGTATTTCTTTAGGATGTATTCTAAGAAAAATTCTGCCACCTGTGGGATCGTGATCATATATAAGAAAGTATAAACCTTTCAATAGTACGGTAACGGATTATGATTTTTTGCTAATTAATGTCAGTGAATAACGACATCTCAGGGCGGAGGCAGTTTTTCTCTGATTCAAGATGTCAGACATGGAGTATTCATATGGAAAACTTCCCACTCTCCGTGACCATGGCCCATGGGCTTCTAATTAAAAGCCCACACCCCTATCAGTATCTAGTAAGTATTCACTCATAGGATGCATACATTTAACTACTTCAGCTTTGTTGTGTCGACCTTGGAGCATAAGCACAATATCCATGACAAAATAAATGTGTCAAAACTGTCAATTTCCTGGTAAGTTGCAGAACTTTCAATATAGAAAATCACTGAACACGTAAATGGATTCTTGGTGTGCTGATTTTACATTTCGTAGTTTGGTGATTTCTGCATCAGCAACAGGTCTTACTCTTACTCTATCATAGAGTTGGTATTTTTATTTAGAAGATGGACCTCAACCTCCTCATCAATTGACAAATTCCTGTGTAGTACAGTGGTGATAAACTCATCCTCCAAGGCCCATCCACAAATAAGCATAAAACATTCTTCAATATTTTATTGCCAGATATGATTGACAAACTACATTTTGTGGCACTATAATATATTCCTTGATAGGTACCAACATCTAAATTGACATTACCAGGAGAGGAGATACCTGGGCATAGCTTGGGGGAGGGGGGGGGTGCCAATGCGATGGGTGGGGTGCAATGGGGGTGCCAGCTTTATGGTTGACAAAACAAACCTGATACGGTTAAATACACACATGCATGTTTACTAAATCCTGGAAGGTAATTGAGAGTTGCATTCATTAGCAAGATCTTATTTTTTGGTTTTGATTGACAGAGAAAAACATTGAATATATGTGCAGTTTTGTCCAATCATGACCCAGATATATTTTGATAATATATGAACAGGTTTTAGCATCATAGTCAGCTGTCTGATCGATGTGGATTGAGGTTATCCGAATCAACATCGCAATATTTCTTTTTCAAAATATGGTCTTACTAGAACATCACAGTTTTTGCTTGTTCATGATTCAATTCCTTTTAAAAACAGTTTTCTTTTGCATACCATTTTTTACTGTTATCTTTTTTGTTTTAGTTGAATGAACATGACTTGATTTAACCACTGTCATTTGATTGAAACAAAATGGAGGTTGATACTGATAATACACAAGTGATGCGAATAAAGAATGATTTCGCAGCTTTCCTGTCAGACACCATGCCATATGAAGGCTCACGATTTGACAATAAGTCACAGCTGAGGGGGTCAAAGTTGAGTTTTGAAGGAAGCATCATGGAGCCTACAGAGAGTATTTCAAATGTACCATCGGTCTCAGTTAAGTCCGTGCTAGGTATGTACCCTTTGCAAATGCAGACTGAGCCTGCAATAAACACCATATCATACCAATCCTAGAACTTTGTAATGACATTTTATACATTTGTGTAACTCTAGGTGAGATAGATGTTTTATACACCTTGCATTTCTCTAGAATGAATTGCAAAACTATTTCTACATGTACCTCTATACTATTTTGTTTGTCTTAGATCCACATGGCAGATGTAATTGAAATATTAGTCAAGTGTGACAAATTTTCATTTTGGCTCCCAAAAAAGAAGATATCTATGAATTGACCATTTTGGCTACTGTATTGATTGATTAAATATATTTGTTCTTCGTTCAAATGTTCAGCTGACAAAGAGAAGGATGATCGGATACACAAGGCAGCTCTACTGGCTACAAAGGGTAAAATAACCAAACTTGAGTCTCAGATGAACAATATGGCATCAGCAAACAAACGAGCTAGAGTGGAATATGAGAAAGATGTCATCACTTTGAAGAATGAACACAAGGTGGGTTCCTGGGAGGTAGATTGCCATGGTTAGGTTCCTGGGGTAGATTCCAGAGTGTGGATTCCTTAGGGAGATTGCTGGAGGCTGATTTTGGTAAAATAATAATCATTAGTTCCTGGATCGATAAGTCTTGAAAACCAAAAGTAATCAAGTCCCTCAACTCCCATCTATTGTATAATATTATTAAGTAGGATGCAGGGGTTTTGCTGGAAAGTCAGTGACTTGGATGCTGAAGTCCCTTGGAATGCCATCTACCAAGCGGAAGCGAGCAAGTATGCAGATTGCAACAGTAGCGGAGAGATGCTCCAGATGGATATGGTTGCGAAGCAGTGCTGCATGGTTGCCCCATTAGTAATTACCATCTCATTTCGACCACCCCTAAGCTTCTCTTTATACATGCATGGTGTCTCATTATGGGTTCCATAATGGGCGGGAGTTAACAGCAGAAGACGCTTACGGATCCACCCGGTCTTGCACCATTCATGCATATTGTTTTCAGAAGCTGCAGCGTGAGTTAGGAATGAATTGGGGTAACAGCGCATCAGCGTTTAATTCAACATTAGTTCTGGAATTATCCAGTGACCTAGGGGAAAGTCCCTATGGCGACAGAGAATAGAACTGTGACAGCTTGGAAAGACAGCATTGGGGGTTCTGAAGGCCAGCACCCTTAAGAACCATGCTTTGATCAGATGACCGAAGCACCCACTTTTACAGCTACAGACAACCAAACAAGAGAATACCCCCAGGATGATCCGAGAGGGGGGGCGGAAGACTCATCCAATAGGCAGAACACAACGGACAAGGACCCACGCAATGACAACGGACGACGAGATTCATGTGAAAGTTGCGGAAGAATCTTCAAAAACTGGCATGGCGTAAGAATACATCAAGGTAAAACGAAGTGCTCATCAACTCCAACACAACGCAGAGAGGTGAATACCCCTCGTCAGACGCAGGACAACCCAGACCCGGTTAACAACCACAGTGTCCAGGTAGTCTCCGTAGAGGAGGAAGTGAACACAAGAGAGCAGGAAGAAGCAGTGAAAGTACCAGTTTTTGAAAGGAAACCAAAACTGAAACTACCAGCAGCATCAAGTTCTGAATGGAAAGACTTGGATGCTGACTTACAGCAGATCCTCAATAATACTTTGAAGGGGGACGCTAAGAGGAAAGTTGAAGCTATGACATCTATTGTGTATGATGTATGTATGGACAGGTTTGGACTTGAGGAGAAGGGGGATGGAATCCCGAAAGAGAAAGGGCCAAGCAGAAGACAGAAAGAAATAGGTAACATCAGGAAAGACTTGCGAGGTTTGAGGAAAGCTTTCTTAAATGCTGACGTTTCAGAGAAAGAAGGACTCCATCGGCTGAGAGAATCTCTTAGACGCAGGCTGTTACTGCTCAGGAAGGCCGATAACTTGAGAAAAAAGAGGTCTGAAAAGAGGAAAACCAGGAGCAAGTTTTTCAAGAGTCCATTCCAATTCGTTAGTGATATTTTGGGGAAACCGAAATCTGGAAACCTGGAATGTACAAAGGAAGAAATGAACACAAGTGTGCAAGCTGCCCATACTGACCCTAGACGTAATGAGCCATTGGCCGAGAAGCCCAATTTATCACCTGCTCCATTGCCTGAACATGAGTTTGATACAACACCAATCAAGCTGTCTGAGGTTCAACAAGTTATAAGAAAAGGCAGATCAGGCTCGGCACCTGGTCCAAGTGGGCTTACCTACAAGATATATAAGAACTGTCCACTATTGACCACAAGACTTTGGAGACTCATGCAAGTCCTTTGGATTAAGAAAGAACTCCCTGCTCCTTGGCTCATAGCAGAGGGCTGCTTTGTCCCAAAGGAGGAGAACTCCATCTCACTTGACCAATTTAGAGAAATCTCCCTACTTAGTGTTGAAGGCAAGATATTTTGGGCTGTGATTGCCAGACGGTTTACAACCTTTTTCATGGAAAACAAGTATGTTGACACCTCTGTCCAGAAAGGAGGAATAACAGGCTTTGCTGGGTGTGTCGAACATACAGCAGCTATATCCAAACTGATTGGGGAGGCCAAGAAGGAGAAGAAGGATCTTTCAGTGGTATGGCTTGACCTCGCAAAAGCTTATCCAAGCGTGCCTCATCAACTTATCTACACTGCCCTGGAACATTACCATGTGCCACCTGAGGTAATAGGACTTGTCAAATTACATCTTGGCGGACTATATATGCGCTTTTCCACAAGACATATCACTTCTGACTGGCAGCGACTAGAGAAAGGCATCATGGCTGGATGCTCAGTATCAGTGATTCTTTTTGTAGCAGCCATGAACATTCTACTGACTGATGCAGCAAAAGAATGTAGGGGGCCACTCGCATCTGATGGAACACGCCACCCCCCTTGCAGAGCGTTCATGGACGACATAACAGCAATGACATGCAAGGAAATTGGGATGAGATGGATTCTGTCTCGACTTGAACAACTGGCTACATGGGGCAGATTAACTTTCAAACCCAAGAAATCCAGAAGCCTCATCCTCAAGAAAGGCGTAATATCAGACAACAAGTTTACAATGCAAGGAGAGATGATTCCGACCATCAGTGAGAATCCAATTAAATGCCTTGGAAAATGGTTTGACCACAGTCTCAATGACAAGACCCACACAGCAGATACGCTTCATCAGCTAGCTACCTGGATGAAAGCAGTAGATAGGACACCACTTCCTGGGAAGCTTAAGATCTGGTGCTTCCAGTATGGAATTATTCCTAGGTTGAATTGGCCATTCACCATGTATGACTTCTCCATAACTTCTGTGCAGGCCATGGAAAGGATAGCTGGCAAGTTCCTTCGCAAATGGTTAGGGGTTCCTAAATCTTTCAGCTCTGTCAACCTCTACAGCACTTCATCTCCAGCTGCACTTCCTACTTCCTCCATAGTTGAAGAATTCAAAGTAACGAAAGTGCGAACAGCAATGTTGCTCAGAGACTCGAAAGATCCAACAGCCAGGGCATCTGAAGTCAAACCTCCGGAAAGAAGGAAATGGTCTGCTCAGGATGCTATCAGCAATGCTGAAAGCAGACTGAGACAGAGTGACATCGTAGGTACTGTTGCAGAGGGGCGGAAAGGGCTCGGGAGTTACGGCAGGGTCCCTTGGTCTAAGGCAGATCCAAAAGCAAAAAGGAAGATGGTAACGAGTGAAATAAGGAAAACCGAGGAGGAAGCTAGACTAGTTAAAGCAACTGGAATGGGCAGTCAGGGTGCATGGCTGAGTTGGGAATCTGTAGAGAGCAGAAAGGTGACAGGGAGTGATCTTATGCAGACAGCTGAAACATCACTTGCTTTCTTCCTTAAATCCCTAAGCAACACCCTTCCCACACCTACTAATCTGTCACTCTGGGGCTTGACGGATGATCCAACCTGCTCCCTTTGTAAAGACCAACCAGCTTCTCTAAGGCATATACTGAGCTCCTGTAGTGTAGCCCTAGGAGAGCATCGGTATACTTGGAGACACGACCAAGTCCTGAGAGAAGTAGCCAGGCAAATTGACATCATAATTGCTTCCAAAACTTGCCCACTAGCTAAAGATACAACACCATGGATATCATTCTGTAAAGAAGGTCAGAGCAAAGCACCCCAACAGCAGAGAACTACCATGCTCCCAGGAATCCTCCAAACAACAGCAGACTGGCAAATCATGGTCGATTTGGACAGGAAGTTGGTGTTTCCACAAGATATAGCTATTACGACACTAAGACCAGACATTGTCATTAGATCAAATGACAAAAGGTGTGTTATCTTGGTCGAGCTGACTGTTCCATGGGAGGATAGAATTGAGGTTTCCCATGAGTTGAAACAAACAAAATATGATGACATTATCACAGAAGCAAGACAGAAGGACTGGAAAGCCCACAGCTTCCCTATTGAAGTAGGATGCAGGGGTTTTGCTGGAAAGTCAGTGACTTGGATGCTGAAGTCCCTTGGAATGCCATCTACCAAGCGGAAGCGAGCAAGTATGCAGATTGCAACAGTAGCGGAGAGATGCTCCAGATGGATATGGTTGCGAAGCAGTGCTGCATGGTTGCCCCATTAGTAATTACCATCTCATTTCGACCACCCCTAAGCTTCTCTTTATACATGCATGGTGTCTCATTATGGGTTCCATAATGGGCGGGAGTTAACAGCAGAAGACGCTTACGGATCCACCCGGTCTTGCACCATTCATGCATATTGTTTTCAGAAGCTGCAGCGTGAGTTAGGAATGAATTGGGGTAACAGCGCATCAGCGTTTAATTCAACATTATTCCAAGTATGGTATATTTGTATTGGTTTGAGTTTTTTGGGGCAAAGGGTTGTATCCTTCCTGCAAATTTAAAAATTACATGTAAATACATCTGAAATCAAACAGCTTGATCATGATGACATTTGTTATTTAAGCATTTTTGCTGGCTGTGTCCATAGATATTAGGAGCCAAATATTTACATTTTTGCTTGTTACATATTATGATTCAAATATCCTTTGTTCAACATGGACGGTGAAACATTAGTGAAATCTGACTACTCTTTTTCACACAGCATATGTCTGTTGAATGAATAGAGATCATATATTGTTATCTTCAGAAATTAATGTACTAGCTTATGCATAAAAATGCTGATTTTATGATTTAGCGAGAAATCTCAAAATTTGATGACCTGAAGCTCCAGTTAAAGTTTATGACCAATAAGGAAGCTGAGGCCAGATCATCGCTAATGGAGATGCAATCGAACATGGAGCAAAAACTGCAGGAGTCGAATAGCAAAATCTCCCAAATACACAAGGAGAAAGTTCAATGGGAGACTAAGTACCAGGATGTAAGTAATACTGCATAAATGGTAATTTTGCCTAATCATTTAATTTGCCTATTGCCTAATTTCTGCCAGGTTCGGAAAATTAGATGTTGGAAATATTATCTTGTCATTAGGAAATTATAAAATTTGACCATTCGGCAAATTAACCACTTGGATTAAATACCACTTTCAGTATGGCTGTTTCATAGTATCTCATTCATTATGATTAGTTTCCATTCATTGTCACTTCTAAGAAGTGGTGAAATATCATTCATATTTTAGAGTGCATTAATGCTTAAGTAGTGAATTAAATGCACAGTACAGGTACATGTGTTCACATTGTCATTTATAAGGTTAAGCTTTTTTATTTAATTCTAATAAGATAGGGATGGTAAAGGAGACAGCAATATTTTCTCGATCAATATTGCTTTCTTTCCTTCAGTTGCAAGAGACAATACAAGATAAGACTTCATCAATGAAGAAAGAGTTAATGAGACAGCAAACAGAGATGAACATCTTAAACAATGAACTGGAGGAAACTACTGAGAGACTCAACCGGCAAACTAGGTACGTCTGCAAGTGGAAGATGTTAGGGATGATGTCCAAAAGTTCAAACTAGTAAATCATGGAGAAAGTTAGTTTATGTGATATTGTATTTACATGTGGGAATAGTGTTTTTAATTCAATGTTTATTTTTCATACATTTTGCACATTGTTGAAAGATTCCGTATTACTCAAGGTCCCAGATTCGATCCCTGGTTCAGGCAATTTGCTTGTTTGCTTGAAGTACTCCAGGGTGTTTGACTGAGTGGTCAACAACTCATACAAAACACAGTAGTGTATACTTGTATGAGTATGTATGAGTGCACATAAAATATCACATGTCACCTTCAAGGAGTGGTTCCTGGGTCCACCTTTCATGATAACAATCATAATTATGAAAGCATTTTTATGGGATATACCCAAGAGGTATTGATCACCTTCATTTGTGGTAAGCAAAATACAATAAAGACCATTTAAATGGATCCCTACCTGTGGTCTGCTATTTTTCAATAGCATGTGTTTTGGATGAGAATGGTTGTCAGCAGCCACCAGGAAAATGCCAGTTTTTCAAGTATTGTCATGGGATCATACAAATATTTCAGTTTCTCTTTGATTTATTTTCAGGAAAGTATCTGACCTCCAAAAGAGTCTGGAAAGTTTTGAGAATTTACAGTTAGAGTCATCTAAAGATAAAATTAGAATAAAGGTATGTTTTCCAAATATTGATTTTGCTAGTCCAACATTAGTAACATCCATTCATTCGTTCATGTTCATAAATTGTTTTTAAGCATAATAGTTTTTGTATAAAGGAACCCCCAGGTTCCAAGAGCATTATTGCCACCCCCCCCCCCCCCCCTAAACATTCATAATTCATAATAGTATGACTGTCTTTCAATTATTTCAAATAAGTCAAGATATATGCTTAGTGATAGACTAGTATACATAACCATGCACACAATGACCTCATGACACAAAAGCAATGCTATAAAACAATATCATAGATTTAAATTAAAATCAGTAACTTCTAATATATAGAACTGGATATTTTAGGAGTTAGAAGGTCAACTTTCCAAGTTGGATAATGATTCTACTATTACCAGAGCGCTAAAATCTGACCTCACCAAACTTCCCCAGTTAGATGCAGAGGCAAGGAAACTCAGAGAAGAAAATACATATTTAAGGTATATAATGCTATATTGAACAAAATCCTGATGATAAAAAATATAGGTATTGAAATTTATGTTGGTATAAAAGTGAGTAGGGAATTAATAAATTATATATACATGGTCTCTAAATGTGAAATTAGAAACAATATTAAAGTAATAAAAGAAATTCATATTTAAGTGTTTTATTAGACGTATTGGACAAAAGTTAGAAGTTAAAGGGAGTTTATGAAAATTGTAAAAAAAATTATATCATAATATTTGGCTATTTACACACTTATCTGTTTTGTAGAGGAATCCAGGAGAACACAATGCTTTTGAAAGAGAGGCTAGATGATGCCGAACGGAAGATTGGGCGATTTGAAGAACGCTCCTCTGATATTCCAAATTTGCAACTGAAGAATGAGGTAAAGGAGCACGTAGGTTATCGCAAACAATTTCAAACGATTCTAACTTGAATTATGAATATTTTTTGATCATGAACATAGGTGTATCTTTTAGATCCATTCATTATCTTCAAGAAAAGTATATATAATGATAATTTAGTTAATCAGACCTAAGTGATATTGAAGGGGCAATGGACCAATCAACATACTTTTTCAAAAATGTTGACCTAATTTTCACCAAAAATGCAACCTATTATTAAATTGTTGAATGTATAATTAGAATGTGCTTTGAGACATGTTCGATTTCCTAAAAGGAAAATTTGATTGCTCCAGGGACTTTAAAGATATTCAATTTGGATGACCAAAATGAACTGAAACCAATGGATAGCATGAGATTTTTCAATGGAGAAATAACATGGGGAACACTTATCTTAATGCAATTAAGTTTTTCTTTCAAGAACTATTTGATACATCAAAATAAAGAATAGTAATGCATTAAACATTGTAAAAAATGATTGCATTTTTGGTGAAAATGGGGTCAACATCTTCAAAATGAGGTCAAAAAGTGTGTTGATGGGTTAATTGCTAGTTAAATATCTCCGAGTTTGTTTAAATTTATTATTACTGTGCATAATTTTCTTTGAGATAATGAATTGATCTAAAAGATAAACTTGTCTTCATTGTCAGAAAATTGTCATAATCCAAGATATAATCTTCTGAAATTGTTTGCGATAACCCACGTGCTCCTTTTCAATTCAGTTATTGAATTAATTTTTATTCTTGTATCAAAACCCTGAGGTGAAATAGAATACATCATATGTGTTAATCTCAAGGGCCTACCAGTAAATTGTACAAAATGAAATAATACATTCCATCATATCAAAATTCTCTCAAAAAATTAAATTGTTTATTTCTAGTCTATGTCTATTTTTAGTGATGGTTGGCATTCTGTGTCTGTAAAAAATGACAGGTTGTGACATTTTGTATGTTAATACCTTGTATTCTATTCTAGCAACTGTTAAAGGAGCTTGACCAGTGGAAAAGTATCAATACAGGTGGACCTTCAAACAAACCAAGGTATGTTAATTCGAAATATAGGATCAAATAATATGCTAAGGGCTAATATGAAAAAGTCACCCTACCTTAGTGTTAGAAACAAACTCACAACCTTCTGGTTAGATCTAAGTAAACTAAATATTCAAAGTGAACTGACTTTCTCACATATCAAATTGCATGTCATGATTTTTAGCTCACACAGTAAGCCTATGGGGTTGACTAGTTAAAGTTGTGCAATGCGCATTGTTACATTTACTTGTGCATGGTTAAATCGTATTATAATAAAGATGTCATGTCAGTATGAAATCATTTCAGTCGCTCAAAATAAATTTCAATGAATGAATGGATTTCAATGAATATAAATATACATATATATTTTTTCTATGTAATTCAGAACTCCTATAGAACTAAGCAAGCGTCTTGCCAGCCTTCAGAGTAATGAGGCGTCTCTATTGGAACAGAAGGGCACCCTGCAAGCAACGTAAGTCACCATCAAAAATGTCAATATACATGTATATAACTATACTTTGAAAATATAAGACAATAGTAAAAACTCTAAAGTAAACTTTTATCTTGAAAAACTTTTTAGTTTAATTGTGCTAATTTCATTTTCATTACATTTTGATTTTGTGCCTTTTCAGTTCATGATCCTTTGATATTTCCTTCTCAAATAATTAAACTAATTGTCCTGTCACTGGCGAGTCTTTCTGTATAGTGCATTGTCAAAACCTCCACTTGTGATCAACTATAAAGAGTATTGTGAACTTCTGTTACAGATATTTGTTATGATATGCATGTACATGTACTGTAGACTTGGTTGCTGATATGGCCAAATAATGACACTACTGTACATAATAAACTACCCAAAAAACATATATAACATGAAACCTGGTGATATCACGACAGACATTTTTATAACTGTTTTAGTGAAAGAATTTTACAATGAAAATAGAGTGTTTGAAAGTTGTACCCGTTTTCGCAACCTGGGGATATCATGACAGAAAGTTTATTCCTGTTTTAGTGAAAACTTTTATCAATGTTTCAGATGTCACTCACTCGAGAATTCATTGAAGGCAAGTCAGCAGATGGCTCTTAAGGCAAACCAGCAACTCACACAAGAGGTGAATAAATCCCAGCAGGCAACTGACCTCATCAAGAGACTCCAGCGCAAACTCCTTCTCATCACAAAGGTATGATAGTGATGACACTAGAAATATGTACAAATGCAAACTTCTATTGTCACCTCGTGAAGGGTGCATTATAATACATGTAATATTAGAAAGGTAGCCACAAATTCATTTTTATATAATTCCATATTATATGTACTTTGTATAATTATGCATTTAAGGAATAAATTGAATTAAAGTACATGTTATCATTATTTTCCTGATAACTCCAGGAAAGAGATGGATACAAGAATATCATAGACCAATATGAGAGTGAGGTTACAGTTAATGTCCAGTCAGCCTCTTCACAGGGTTCCAACTCAAGAGTGCAACAACTTGAGGAAACTAACCAAAGGCTAACCAGGTAAATCTCCCAAGAATCTTTTTTGGGATGTTGCTGTCAATGTAATTAATGAATCCAGTGTAATAAATTAGTATATATTTCCAATGTAATAAATTAGTATATATTTTCAATGTAATAAATGAGAACATATTTTCAATATATTAAATGAGTACATATTTCAGTGGAATGAATGTAATTAATGAGTTCATATTTTCAATATATTAAATGAGTACATATTTCAGGGGAATGAATCTAATTAATTAGTTCATATTTTCAATGTTATAAATGAGTACATATTTCAGGGGAATGAATCTAATTAATGAGTTCATATTTTCAATGTTATAAATGAGTACATATTTCAGGGGAATGAATCTAATTAATGAGTTCATATTTTCAATGTTATAAATGAGTACATATTTCAGTGGAATGAATGTAATTAATGAGTTCATATTTTCAATGTATTGAATGTATGACCGAGTATATATTTACAGTGTAACTAATGTAATTAATGAGTACATATTTACATTATTGATGATTACTACATATTTCTTTCTGTACCTGAATAAGTATTCCTGTTTTAAGGCAAACAGAATATCTTGAGAAAGAAGTCGAGCAAGCCCAGTCCAAATTGGCAATCTATATGCAGCGTTGTACAGAGGTTTGTTCCCAAAGATTATATCTACATGTATTTCCTTTTATGAAATGGCGTTACATGAATTTCCTTTAATGAATTGATGTACATGTATTTTCTCTTATGAAATGAGGTACATGTGTTTTGAAAATGAAACAAGAAAGTATCAGAGGCAAAATCCCTGATACTAAAACTGTATAAAATTGATTTTTAGACTGATGTGTAAGAAATTTGAATTAGGCAATATCACATTAAGCATTCATTGGTGCATCTTCACTGTTATTATTTACATTTGTGTTCATGAGTGTATTGAGTACAAAATTTTCCTGTTTATCTTAGGACTCCCTTGAGTCAAGGTCATGTACATGTATTGAAAGATGAAAGAAAAAGATACTTGGTTATTCTGGAAACTTCATAATCACATGCACCCCTTGTATTTACATATTAATGAACTAAAATGGCACCTACAGTGTACTTATAATTTGAATTGATGTGATTGACAACATTTCCATTTCCATATTTTAGCTTGACACTAAACTGGTACAGGCCCAGCAAACTGTTGCTACGGAAACACTATCTAAGCCAGTTACAGAGGCAGATCAGAAAACCATTCTCTCTTTGAGGTAATTATTGTATAAATATTTAATTATGTGTAAATAATTATGTACTGGTATATGTTAATTTGCATTTTAAAGGCTTTATAACTCTAACTTTTATGTGAAATTATCAGTTTCTTAGTTGTTCACTTTTGCTTAACCCCTGATGCAATTTAAGTTGTGTGACCCTGTCAAATGAACCTCAGATTGATCATATCAGACATCTGACAAATATCATATAATGATCGGAATTTTTTAAATTAGGTTCCATAACTGGGCATTTTAAGGCCTTTTTTAATTTTAGGCCTAATTTTGAAGAAAATGGGCCTCAAAATTTGGGCTCATTTTTTGGTTTTAGGGGCCCAAAAAGTATTTTTCTCAGATCAGAAATATGCCCCCCACCTTGTTGGTTCCCAGATCCGCCCCTGGTGCAAGTGCTAATTAACTTTTTATCTCCCATCCAAAATGCAATTTATAACTGTGAATGTTTCTCAATAAAGTATGCACTACATTAAAGTGCATGCAGATTGCACTGAACATTTCAGGACACTATAGTTTTCTCAATAACATTCAGAAATATAAAAACATGAGTATAAAAAGTATCAGTGCTTTATTTTTGAGATTGACTAGTTTATTAGTTTTGGACATCTTTATTCTAATACAGTTCAGTATCTATGCATTTACTCTAATACATTTAAGAATGCATATATGTACTTATTCAAATACATTTCAGGGAACAAGTAGCTGAGCTTGAGAAACAACTAGAGAAAGTTTCTGAAGAAAAGTATCAGCTTGAAAGTAGAATAGAGCAGAGAAACCTGCAAGTAAGTCTCCATTGAATATCAAGTGGTACAAACTAAATTAGGCACGATCAAAAACAACCCTAAGTTTTCATTTTCCCTTGTTTAATTGCTCTTCTGCTCAAGCACTAGAGAATAACTCAGATGCGAGTAGGTAGTTACCAGTCTCGCCACCAGGTGGCTGATTCGGGGGAATTAACATGGCAGGGTATTACAAAATTCCCTTAAACTTGAATATGCATCAGTTTTAGTGGCTCACTTTTCATAAATACCTTTATGTATCTGATAGTGATACAAATTAAAATATGTCCAGTAAAAGAAAATATTATCTGCCCAACACAAGAAAAGATATTTCACTTTTGGGGGTTTTACAACATGGGGTCTATGTGGAATCTCCCCGACCTAGAAGTCACATTTTCAAAGAAAATTAAATTTTCAAAGTTGTTAAACTCTTTTCAAAACCACATTTCTAAATGTAATTTTACATGTAGATTTCAAATATGACATCAGTTTGACTGAATTGTGAATTTTTAATGACGTAAATCAAGATTATTTCTACTCGCATCTGGGATATTAAAACACTGAGATGTCATTTTATCTTAAAAAATAGAAATTATTATTTTTTTTTAATTTTGACAAAATATGATCTTGACTTAATTTATATCCATGTGAATATTAATTTTTAATGTATTGTTGTAGTCTCAAACTTTTTTGTTGATGGTGTTCGATGGACAGTGTTTCACAGTAAGTGTCTGTAACAAATGGCAGGTGGTGACATTTTGCATGTTTATGCCTTGTCTTTCCATCTCATGGCTTAGGAGTAGCAAGGCTCCCAATTGTTGCACACTGTTGAAAAGCTATGCGAAATTGATCATATTCTACTTATCCTAGGGAGATTACGATCCCACTAAGACCAAGGTGCTACATTTTTCCATGAATCCTGCCGCAATTGCTCAAAAGAATCGTGCAGAAGAACTGGAAAGGCTTAGAGATGAGAATGAAAAGCTGAGAGCTAGAGTGAAGATCTTGGAAGAAGCTGATGGCAAAGCTGCTAATATCACAATGCAAGTGGATGAGAAAATGGCAGAGCCCAACAGTAGCAAGGAATTAGAAGGTAACAAGCAACCAACAAAGCAAAACAAACAATCAAGAGTGTTGAACCAGCCGAGAACAAAATGATTTTCTGGAGATCTTAATTTTTTTTATTCCACTCTCATTTAGAAATGACATTCAATAGAAATTTAAATCTTGTCTTTTATAAAATTTCTTGCTAAGTTTAAGACATGCTTTTCTTAACGAGGCTTCTTAGAATACCAGAAGTTTAAATTTAAAGGAGATTCGGGCCCTCAATGAATGCGGAGATATATGTAAACAAGTGAAATTTTGAAAAGACTGCAGACTGAGACTACATGAACTGAGAAAAAATCAATTCAATGAAATACATGCAGTTGATGAACATACCTTTTCCTTTAATATTTTATTAATAAAACAAAATGTGTATTTGATGAGAAGATTACTACACTTGCAGGCTCGTAGCCAGGATTTGTTAAGGAGGGTTCATTTTTTGAAAAATTTTAGGGGGGTTCACTTTTGACAACTATGGCCCAAAAATGGCAAACATCACTTGAAATGTGCTCAAAATAGTGAAAAAATGTGTGATTTTCATGATTTTGTAAGAATATTTAGCAGAGGGGGTTTAAACCCCTTGGCTACGTGTCAAGTTGTCAGGTTCAATAAAACTAATAAATGAACTTAAGTGTCTGATTTCATTAAACAGATTACTATATTGTATTTATAAGTACAAATATTAATAACAAAAATAGACAAAGTATACTAATACTACACAAAACTGGACGGCTGATGCTGCAAAACGTGCACACTGGATACGTGGAAGGTTACTGGGCTTATGATGTATCATCTACCATAACGTCCGTCTACGTACAATACACGTGAACTATCGAGAGTCTAATATCACGTTCACCACGTGAAGATACTGGCTGGACGTGTTGGTAGACTTCTTACTCGAGTCGGTTTATACTCACATCGACGTTACTGGATAAGAGTCTATGGATGTGATAATAGTCACTTGGTTATATGCTGTACGTAGACAGACGTTATAGTAGATAATTCATTGCACGTGAATTAACGAGAGTCTATATCACGTTCACCACGTGAGGATACAGGCTGGACGTGTTGGTAGACATCTTACACTAGTCCAATATTACACTGATACAACTCAGACACAGTTTATAGACGCACGAGACGATACAAGGAGACAGTCTGTGCACATACGTAGATACATTTCTCGTTGACAGCTACATACTACACCAAAACTATAAAAAATGGATAATAAACCTATCTAAGACACACGTTTCTAGAATATATGAAATATAATATTTTCAACTAGTTCCCTAAACTGGTACAGATAACCAATGGATGCTAAGAATAATATGCCATATAAGTGAACACCAAATCCAAGAAAATTATAATTATCTTGAACAATATAACTTATCCTTGTACAATGTAACTTATCCTTGTACAATATAACCTATCCTTGTACAATTTAGCAATTACAATAAATAAACACAAAGGAAATATTGTAATGAATATATACTAAATAAATACCTCAGTATGTTTCACTAATGTTGACCACATATTGTACAAAGTCACGCCACGTGTTATGACAAGGTAGATGACATCGACACTACACGTACATGTTGACACTAGACTTCACAGGAAAACGCACAACAGATAAACGTGGTTCACAAATGCAAAGGTATTTATATGAGTGGACAGTGAGTGAAATAGTGAATGAACTACTAAGGAAATGGAATGATGCCAATTGATTTCTATACTTATGAATACTACCTGTAGAGCTAAGAGTATATTGAATGATAAACTCGCGTTTGACTGAAACGCTAACCATACTTGACACTACGGGTCTGCTTGCATCAGGAAAATATCTCTATTGAACTTCTGTATTGAACAGACTATGTATAATTTTCTGTTTTTGTTTGTTTTTTGTTTATATATTTTTTCAACAATTAATTTATTTTACAATAAACGTGAATTTTTATTGTCCCCTGTAAATGAGAACTCGGACATCCTTCTCTGATATCAGGTTTGAGATAAATGATGTCATGTGAAGATGGATGTCATAAAGTAAATGTCATATGAAGAGCCTGAAACACACAAAATATTCATCGAAAAATATAAACATTGACGGTAATTAAAGCAAAACATTTAGTTATAGGAACAATTTCCTCTACAAGAGATCTGACCATGAAATGTCAAAAACTGGTCAAAATAATCCTATTTTTCAATGATTGTCCCAAATGAGTCCAAATAGATTCTTTTCTGGTTGTAGTTTGCGTCAAATCCCTGGGATCACTGAGAAAATAGAATATCTTGAGCATTTAACTCATTTGGCCAGCAAGAATCAACTTTAACTTTGATTGGTTCGGTGACCATTTTCTAACTCTAATTTCCTACCCAAAATTGATAGATGACTTTGGCAAACACAATTTTTTCAAATTATTGATGAAATGAGTTAATTTGTTATCTGAATTTTAAATGTTGTACTGTTTTTAATCATTTGATCTTATGATAAAAACATGTTTTTAACATTTTCACTTAAACTCACTTTAATATCCATATCCTTGTGGGGCAACATATCCATTGGGTCCAACAACCTTTCCACTCTGGGCATCAATGTAACCACCATTGTCTCCAACAATCAGACCAGATGGGGATTTGACAACAGCTCCGTTGGGTCCAACATTGGCATATGGGTAGCCATCTCCATATGGGACGTATTCGTAACCATATGGCTGGTATCCATAGCTTCCGTATCCATAGCTGTTTCTTGCATATCCATAACCATATCCGTAGTCTACTTTGCCATCACGGTTAGCATCACGAGAATCTGGGACACCATCACGGTTCTCATCATCTCCGTATCCGTAGCTACGGGGAGCAGCACAAGCAACGGCCACAAGGGCAAAAAGGCACACAAACTTAAGCATTCTGAGAGGAATTCTGAAACATAGACATGAACAATCACATTTATTTCATCCCTGAGCATCATTTTATAGTTAAACTTCATAACTCTATTACAGCTTGCTTCAATTTAATGTTTGAAAAAATTAATATACCGGTATATAAATGAGATCGCCACTCAACATGCAACTTGAATCATATTTAGACTCACCTGTGATTACTTAATCATATAATTGCTTACCTTTGTATCTGTCTAGGCTGACCTGATAAAGTGAATGATTTTCACATGAAATGTTGAGCTTTTATACAAGTCAAGCCAAGCTCCCCAAGCTATAAGCCCAACCTTATGATCCCTCATAGCCCCATTAGGTCATGTATTGGTAACGTTAATTAACCAATATGGATTGATTAAAATAATTAATTCAATTCAAGGATTTTTTCCACCTTGTATGTAATGAAATGCAATTAAGCCTTTTGACTGGAAAAAAGATTTTAGGGAGTTCACTTTCATTTAATAATTTTTATTATTACATACCTATGATGATGTATGTTGTAAACTGTTCACAAGATAGTGGGCCAATATAAAAACCTGTGCCTGGTTACTCTCTGATTGGTCAAGGCGCTTGGACTACTACATGAATTGAAAATAAAACAATGCCAGCAATTTTTGTAAATACACTTCAATCGCATCAAATAATTTTATATAAATGTATTCATTAATCATGTTTATTAATAAATTTTTCTCTTTAAAGTGCTTTAAGTTCTAGGTTTAGAAAAAATGTTCGCATAGTTTTTTCTTCAGTTGATTGCGCCTATATATCACTGAAAACCTCAGATAGTGGCAAAACCTCTAATTGATACATTTTATTTTTAGGTGACAGCATGAATTCTAGTATCAAATAGGGTTTGATGTGTTATCACATGTCATTGGCTTCAAATCACACTGGAATACATCATTATTGTATTTAAAGGTGCAACAATTACTGCAGGGGGGCCATTCAACGATCTTCGACCAGTGTCAAAATATATTTAAGTTTTGATGTTTCATCAAGACTAACATATATTTTTATTATCTCCAAAGAAACCCCCTGGATGAACATTATTTCCGCTGATATTCCTCTTGAAACGTAGTGATCTATAAGTGGGACTCCCTTTATAGGAGCTTTGAACTGAATTTACACTTCTTAATGATGAAATTGAGAGTTTATCCATACATTTTAAGAAAATAGGTATGTCAAAGATGTTAAACCAAATATTGACCTGATCGCCCAGAAAAAATAAAAAATTTCGAATTTTCTCTCTACAGTCCTTGTTGCCCCTTTAAGCTATGATAAATATAAGAAAATGTTTAGAAGCTTAATTTCATATTTACATTTTGTAGGTTCCTGTTTGTAATTAATATATATCATATACAGTACTCTTTATCATGTATGTTTTATCATCTTTATCATCTTTTTTTTATTTATTTTTATTTTAGAAATGAAGTCTCAAGTCAACACAATGGAGTTGAAGAATAAAAGATTAAGGGAGGCATTTATGAAGACCAGTCACGATTGGCGAGAACTGGTATATGAGGTGACAGGATTCAAAGTAGATGCCATTGGTCCTAACCAGTACAAGGTGTGATACTGTTTTCTTATTGGCATAAGTTTCAGAAAAATGCATTCCATGTGAAGGGGTTTGGATTTTGTCAAAATAAAAATCGAGCTGTCATAAATTCCCATCCTTGGGAGCCAGCAAGTAAGTCAAATGACCCTGGGAACAATAATAGTGAGTCAAATATTGTCAAAATCCCAGGCCCTGGAGCAATATTGTGTGTCAAATTCCCAACCTTCCATATGGTTACCTTCCATGTTGGGGGCATTCTGATAATCAGACCATTTCTGCAATGCACAAGAATTCTAGAAAGGAAACTGAGAGAAGGCTTTGATATCTCACGATGTGTTGGGGGTGTCTCAGGCAAACCTTTGAATGGCGCATTAAAACCAAAAACATATTTTATTCAATTCACACTGTAATTTTTGGAGATTCATCAACTATAAGGTGGTTTAGTAAGTGGATATTTTAGCTTCAATTAAGACTATTCATATATGTATGTATGTATAGATAGAAAAAGTCATCAAATCATGTTTTTGAAACATCCAAGATGTCCAAAAGGAGTGCTGAAAGCATGATGAATATTTATATTCCAGGTTCAAAGCATGTATGCAGAAGCCCCGGATGATTTCTTCGTCTTCCAGGTTAGTTTTTATCAACAGAATTATTTTAAAATCTGAAATTAAAATTACATATCAGATATCAAAAAAGACAAATTACATTTCTGATGTTTTTGGGAAGTTAGTAGATGGATTTTTTATACAATTGGTAAAGTGCTTACTTATCCTAATAATACATAAAACTTGTTTTGATTGTTCTTACATTATTGTTCATTTTGATTTGCACATGTCATTAAGTCATATTAAAAGTAATTCATCTTTTAATCATATCTCTAGGCCTTCCTTAGTAATTTGTCCTTAAATCATATCTCTCTAAGTAAAGCCTCTGTTAAGTAATTTGTCCTTGAATCATATCTCTAGGTCTTCCTTAGTAATTTGTCTTTAAATCATATCACTAAACATAACATAACTTATATTACCTTAAGTGCTCCATCCATGCCTACCTTAAATATTTTGATGGTGTATTTTTCAGGTAGCAGATGGCCACACTACGCTACTAGCTAATGACTATTCAGCATCTTTAACTGAGTTTGCAGAGGAGTATCTTGAAAAATATAACAGTATTCCTGGCTTTATTTGCCGAGTTACACTTGATCTTTTGAGTAAGCAGACCATAATGCAATAGTTTGTGTACACCTGGTTGTATGTTGTCATGGAGATGGTTATTCTGTCATCCCACATTCTTCCCAATATGCAAGAGCTTGGGATAGATCTTTGATGTTGATTGTACATCAGGGGTTTTATCCATCTAAATATTCCTGTGATGTATTTATCAGCAGACAACTATTTCTTGACAGAAAATACATTTAAAGCAAAATAAACTGAGATGACCAATATACCTGTATACAATTTGGTAAAAATATGTCTGATGCATCCTTCAAGATCGAGCTTTACTGCTATATCAGCTATGGGAAGAATTGAACCAAGGATGGTCTGATGTAGAGTCTATGGGTTTAACAAGTTGGAGATTGAGATTAGCCCCTCGAGTTAATTGTACTATGTGCTGTAGTCTTACATTTAAGGTTACTCAGCTTCAGTTGTATTCAAGTACTCTTATGTTCAAATATGCTTGTGTTCAGCTACAGTGTGCAACTACACCTGAGTTCAACTACAGTGTGCAACTACACTAAAGTTCAGCTACAGTGTGAAACTACAATTGTGTTCAGCTACAGTGTGAAACTACACTTGTGTTCAACTACACACTTGTGTTCGAGTACAGCTGTGTTCAGCTATAGTGATTTGAAATCAACAACAGACACTCATTTAGTGTGAATATATAGTGCAATGCATTCATATAACAAAGGACATCCCTAAGTTTATTGCATGAATATCTACTTGGAAAAAAGATGGATTGCAATGTAATTGATCACATTAATCGTAAAGAAACATTATCAAAGTGAGTCAAGAATGGACTTTTCCATTAACTTATCCATCATTCATTAATTTTCTATTATCTTATCCATTATCGATCCATTGCTTATCCATTTATGGACGATGTTTTGAACGGAGGATTGATGAAACTATAGTAAATTAATTTTTATTCACTGCTGACAACCTTTGGACACCATCCCCTAATGGTAATCCCCTAATAGTAATGATTTTGTAAACAATGTGGAAAATAAAATATACATACTTGTCAATATCTAATGCAGCTATGGTTTTATTTGGTAGGAGTAAAATGTTTAGTTGGCTGAATGTTCTTTTATGACCAACGACTGTAACTTTAAAGAATTCTCAAAACTTTCTAAGTAACCCTGACTTATAAAATTCTTATTGTATGATGAATCTGGATTCAATTGTGGCAAAAACTCGACATACTTTTGTGAATCAGTTATTACAACTAGAAACAAAGAGTGGTACACGTTATATAAAGGCCAAAAAGATGGAAGCTTAGTGGTGCAAAGATTCACCTATATAACCATACAAAACTTATAGTGCAGTCAGAATGAGCCTAAATGCGTGCGTTCAGAGGGATTTTACGGGACATAATTTTTCATGTTGCTAGTATGATTTCACATATTTGTATGAATTATTAGATCCTAGTTTTTCAGCTTTTAGATTTTGTGGCCATTTTACCCCCCCCCCCCATGGGCTATAATTTGGACCTCTACTATAAAATTAGGCAAGAACTCAAAAAATACTCAGTGGAATGTATCCAAATTGCTATGGTATATTGGTAAGGGCTAATTGAATATATGATAAAAATTTCAAGTCACATGGTTAAGTGGTTGCCATGGAAATGGATAAAACATACCCTTCGGGTGTCAATTTTCAGGCCAATTTTTCAGGAATGATAGAGTCATTTTGTGCATATTTTTTCACCAGTGTGTTAGGAAGGGTTGAAGTGTAAATAGAAAACGTCTATAATATGTTAGCAACAATCTTATGTAAAGATCAGTCCACAGAATCTCAGATTTTGGCCTTATATGGGTCCATGATTTATACAGGGGCCTATTTCACAGATTCGAACCCCCACATTGGATGGATGCTATAACTTTTGAAATAAGGGAGATACAGGTCTCATATTTTCAGATCTTCATAAATGGCTGGTTTTAAGTATTGTATCATACTTTGGGAGCTGGTATATGGTTGGTTGCCATGGTAACCAGGGTTTTAGGGAAATTCTGACCCCCTCATTGGATGGATGCTATAACTTTTGAAATAAGGGTGATACATGTCTCATTTTTTCAGATCTTAGACAATAATTGATTTTAAGTATTAAATCAGACTTTGAGAGCTGAAATTTGATTGGTTACCATAGTAACTAGGGTTTTATTGAAATTCAGACCTCCACAATTGATAAATGGTATAACTTTTGAATTCAAGCAGATACAGATATCAGCTTTTCAGAACTTAAAAGATAATTAGACTTGTGTCTTGTGTCAGACTTTGGAGGTTACAATTTACTTGGTTGCCATGATAACCATGTTTCATTGTCATGGAAACTTCATTTTTGATTTCAGATTTACCTTCATTTGAGAATGGTCAAGACACAACATAGAACGCAAAATTGCTCAAAATTATCATTTTACTCTTAATTTCAGCATTTTTACATGTATGTCTGACAGTATTGCCTCATTCCATTCTACTAGTTCTCACACATATTCTACTCCTAACTTGTTTTTACTCATCATTATAGTTTTCATCTTCCACAATGGTCTCATAATTTAAAATATCAACAATTTCAGCAAGGAAGGATTCTATTGACCATTGGGGTCAAAAAAACGTCTACATTGGGGTGTTAAAGATTCCTCGGGGAATTCATAATTCATTCATGCAGTGTTTTGTTTGGTAGAGCTGGGTTTAGGCTGGTGGGAATGTTTCCATACACAGGTTTGATAATTCACCCTCTTCAAATGTGAAAGAGTTGAAATGTCAACACCTTCATAAGTGAGGGCAGCACTGTTCTGTTTTTGAGAATACTAGTATCTCATGTGAAACAGCTCATCTCGTAATCTATTAGTGGCAGTTATTTTTTTTGTAATTCAGCTGTACTTTTGCAGGTGAACAATTCAACTTTGGATTTTATGGTATCAGGAATTCCTATATTGTTTCCTATTGAAGGAAACAACAAGAATTGCTTGTCTTCAGTTGATTTATTTTACTTTTGATCAGATCCAGTAACAATAAAATCCAAAGTTGAATTGTTCACATGCAAAAGAACAGCAGAATTACAAAAATACATTTGTAACTGACATCAATAAATTACGATATGAGCTGTTTCACATAAGATATTCACCAAAACAGTGCTGCCCTCATCATTCAGATCCGTAACGCATTGAAGGCTAATATGGCTTCACACAGTACTTTGGTTGAGCTTCTGACATCTAATGGGACAGAGTTCACATCAGTAGCCTTATTCATAAAGCCAACGTAGGACTTACGTCAACGTATCGTATTACGGAAACTTATTTTGGTATTCATAAAGCAAACGTAACTTTACGATGAACGTAAAGTCCTGCGGATCTTACAAAATATTTACGTCAAGTATCTTCACCGTGTAACTTTACGTCCAGCCTTAAAAACACTATTTATTCGTACGTTTAGTATCCAATTACCATGAGATTTTGTGAAACACTTGTTTTAGATATAATACGTAATGTTAAAATGATTTGTCATTTGCTTGACATCTTCAAGTTTCTAGCTGGTTCCAAAGACAGGTACGAAAATGTCATCAATTTCTTGGTGTCCAAGCGTTAACAGCAACGTATCTTTCATATACGTTCAACGTAAATTATTTTCAAATGCCAATGCGTCATCATTACGTAATAGAAAGAAAGAACAAACGCATGTAAGCAAAGATGGCTTTTGTGGTACATGTGCGCATCTTTGCAGTAAGACGGTCTCTTAGACGAGAGCGATTGCTTAGGCATGTTAGGGATCGTAGCAATCCCCTCGAAATCTTTGATGATAGGGAGCTTCTTATGAGGTTTAGATTACCGAGGCATTTAATTTTGGAGTAGCCAGCAATTGGTGACCAGGGGTTCGATTTTTTATGTATCCACAAATCTCCCCCTTCATCGGTGTACCTCACATAGAAGCATTTTTTGTATTTGTCATATATACAATTTACACCCCTCCAAAAGTTTGGCAACAATTTGATTTTCTATATTGAAATAGTTTTTGGTGAATCTTTTACTGAAAGATATTGAAATCTGGTAGCAAAATCATACATTTTATATAACAATTGTTTAATTGTTCAATGAAATCCAAATCAAGGGTTAGCATACATTGAGACAACTTTGTTAAGGGCAAATTACAACATATCTCTAAGGAACATATTTTTAACGAGCTACCATTGAAAAAGTCGTCATTCCCAATTCATCATTCAAAGATACATTATGTCAAATTCTGGCACGCTATTCCCACACTTTTAGATGATTTTTGAGAAGAATCCAAATCAAAAGAATTTTATCTGCCATTTCATTTTGTAATAGAGGAGTTCATAATGACCTCATGAACTTACAGTTAGTTTCTGAATACTAGTATATTCAAAAGCAAATATTTTTGAAGATATGATACTTATTTACTCATGGCGCACAATAAAAGTCGTAATGGCTGCACGAATACTCTCAATTGGTACTGACGATAGAAGTGACAGATGACAAATAGTATATCAGGAAGCAATGCATATTGGTACATTACGTGATTTTTCTAATATTTTTTATGATGAACTTTTCCCCTTAAGTGACACATTTACGATTCTAGGCCGAATTTCGACAATTTAAGCGATATGAGTCAAGAAAATAGTCTTACCTTTCTATTAGGATGGGTTCAGGTGCCAAAAATAACTGATCCATGGATATATATCATTTTGAAATTTGGATGCAAGAAATATTTTTTCGGAGCCATGTTTTTTTACGACTCATAACAGGAAATAGATTATCTAAATGAAAACTGAATTTACATCATCAATCCTGGTTTTGACTTAAAAATTTACCGAAATAGATTCGACTGTCTTCTAAAATGTATAACATAGCTTTAGAATTTTCTGTTATGCTAGTGTGGCCTAATGGAGTAAGGCGCTAGAATAAGGTTTTGATAGTTTGAATCCAGCTGTCGGTGGTTCGATTCCCGGTCAATACTAAGGTTTTTTCTTTTTTATTTATCTCTCAGACACAATTTCTTTTTAAAAATCTCTTTTTATACAACATATAGTCATATCTATCACTTTTTGAGGTTTTAGATTTTAGATACATCATAAATGTGTTACTTTAACTGTGGATATAAAATACTCATTCGAAATACTTAATAAATCTAGTCTTATTTGATATAATCCTCCTTATGCCTTTGCTTTCCTCAGCAAAAGATGACTGCAACTGGCTTTTTTTATTGGACAGAACTTTCCACTGCAAGTAATGTGTGTACCTTTTTAGCTTACACTTGTATTTAGTACCAGAGACATACTCACCTAATTGCCTCCCTTAATCCATTTATTTGCTAAACATATATAATTAATATTATTAACACGATCCACTTAAAGGACAACTGAAATAGCTTTTCTCAACTTGCAGCTACAAAAATGCGGTTTTCTCCATTGTAAGCCCACCGTAGAGTTCTTGCGATAGCCATTATGAAATAAATGTTAGATAACTGCTAACGGTCATAGATAACGAAATAAAACTAACTGATAAATCAAATTGGCCCCCACGTGATTAGTAACGTCATATACAAAATATAGCTATGGTTTATTGGTTCCATAGTAATCACAACGTCACGGCAACCATAGGATTGTTGTGTAAACAAATAACAAAACATTTTGGCATTATGACGTCATGATCTAATGGACAAAAACGTGGGGACCAGTGAGAGATCACGTGGGGGCCAATAACGTCACAACCAGTTCGAATATTGCTTATTAAGCAGCTATAACGATCGTTAGAGTGAAATAGTTTTCACACTACTGATGAGAAAACATGTCCAAATACATCTATCAAAAAATTATATTGATTCCTTTAGGTTAAAAATACCATTTCATATCTGCTTTAAGTTTGATATTCTTGAAATAGAGTAAACACTAAATACACTGAAACAGCAACAATTTAATCTTAAAATGATCTCCGAGATAAACGTGCATCTGCAAAAACAAAACTGATTTTTTCGCAATGGATTTATTTTTCCTTAAAAAGTGATGGATAATAAAAATATGTTTTTAGAGCATTTTTTATAGCCATTTTGTAGGGAAAAAATGATGAAAAAATGTACAATCTTTTAATTTAAAGTATGACCTGAATCGATTGCAAACTTCATATTTGCACATTTGATGAAATGAACCATTTGTGTCATATTGTTTAATTATAAAGTTTGCAATCGATTCAGGTCATAGTGTATTTTTGGTATTTCTGTGATAATCAATGGAAACCAATGGCCTCTGTTGGGATCTGCTGATATCCTCATGTTAAGTCAATGGTGCATAGCCCCATGTAAGTCAATACTACCTTATTGAACGAAATGATCCCTAACTCAGCTTATGTGTGCCCGAGCACTTTGATATTTTCCAAAGTATTATATGACATTCTATTCTTCATGTTACACCTAAGAATGATTCATTTTGACCATAGGAATATTTGCCAATAATCGCACCTCTTCCTTTACTATTTTTTCCTACTGGTCATATAAATTGAATATATGTTTCTGGTTATTGCAATGAATTTTTCCACAAATATTTTTTGGGAGAAATCCCGACCGGGGGTTCGTCCGAACCCATCGAACCCCCGGTCCCTACGGCTATGCATGATAAGTTCCCCAACACGGAGGAACTGTGCCCTTCCACCATTAATTCAGGTATCGTCAAAAACAATAGTACTTTTGTGTAAATCAATGAATGAGAAAATGAAGTCGAAAGGAATACGATAAGCTTTTATATAGGGGTATAAATAATCAAGGAGCAACCGTGACAATGAGGAACGCGTCAAATTACGCGTGCGTGAACGATGCAATCATATTCAAATACGTACATGCACGTGATCACAAAATTGGGACATGATATGGGAGTATGTAGTATATTATTTTCATTGCGTAAGTCCTTGCAGAAAGTTAGACGTAGATCTCCAATTTCCGCATATGTTTATGAATACGACGGAGAGATGTTTTTACGTCCAACGTAATTGAGTTACGTGGACGTAAATGGAAATATTTACGTTGGCTTTATGAATAAGGCTTCAGTTGAGGTTCTTACAGCTGTTTTCTTCATAATAGGAAACAATATAGAAATTTGAAGAGGATGAATGACAAATCCTAAATGTTGAAGTAAGCAATCAATACAAGATGGAAGATATTCTACATAGCAGCTAATGTAATGCAATGATGAACTCTTCACAAAAAACGTTCAACAAACCCACGTTTTAATAATTTGAGAATAATATATAAGGATCTCTGAATTCACCTCATTTCTAAAAGTATGTTAAAGTTTCATTATGATCACTTCCAGAATAAAATAGTTGTGTCCTTCTAAAAAGCTCTCCATAGGGACTCTACTCCTTTTAAGATCTGATATGAGAATGCCCTCCAAATTATGACTTGAGGTATGGCAATGGTCCGATTTTTCCACTTACTGGTATGAGAATGGTCTTGGAAAATATGTTACCCCTCACTTGTGGTATGGCATTGGTCTAGTATATATCCTTTATAATGTGAAGTTGTTTTTGGTTGTTTTCCTCAAAGGTCTGCCTTCTTCTCGGGGCATTAGACATTTTGAATGGCCATGTTTTTATATCTGGATATTGCATTGATCCTATATTTGGGCATTTGGTATGACTTTTGGGCATTACTTTGGTTGGTATGGAAATACATTCAAATTTGACAGATTGGTATGGGAACATATTGATATCTGAGGGTTCAGCCTAGGACCCCAGCCAAATTTTATATACAGTGAACCCCCAGGGACCAGTCTTAACCCATTCTGCCAAGCCCAGTACTGCATGAATGTACTAAATCCCCTGAGGATCCTCAACTCCATAATGGTCAAAACAAACCTTCATTTCAACAGAAACTGTTGATATTTAAATCAAGAGGCAATTGTGCAAAATGAAAACAGTAATGATGAGTAAAAATGAACAGGTTAGGAGTCAGAATATTTGTGAGAACTAGTAGTATGGAATGAGGCAATATTGTCAGATATAAATATACATGTATTGTTTACTAGTATTTGATATTTTATGAGCCAAACATTTTTGCCTCTCTAGTATTAATGAGCATGTAAATCATATAAAATAGAAAAAATCCCAAAATTAAGAATAAAATGGCAATTTGGTATTTCATATCATGTATTGACCTATCTAGAATGAAGGTGAATCTAAAAACAAAAACGGCAGTTACCATGAAAGTGAAACATGGTTAACATGGCAACCAAGTAAATTCTAACTTCCAAAGTCTAATACAATATACACATTTTATTATTATCTTATATCTGAAAAGATGATATTTGTATCTGCATGTATAAGTATAGCGTTTATCAATTGTGGAGGTCTGAATTTCAACAAAACCCTGATTACCATGGTAACCAATCAAATACCAGCTCCCAAAGTCTGAATCAATCCTTAAAATCAATCATTGTCTAAGATCTGAAAAAATGAGACACGTATATCCCTTATTTCAAAAGTTATAGCATCCATCCAATGTGGGGGTCCGAATTTCCATAAAACCTTGGTTACCATAGCAACCAATCACATACCAGCTCCCAAAGTATAATACAATACTTAAAACCAACCATTTATGAAGATCTGAAAAAATGAGACCTGTATATCCCTTATTTCAAAAGTTATAGCATCCATCCAATGTGGGGTCCGAATTTCCATAAAACCTTGGTTACCATGGCAACCAATCACATACCAGCTCCAAAAGTATACTACAATACTAAAGACCAACCATTTATGAAGATCTGAAAAAATGAGACCTGTATCTCCATTATTTCAAAAGTTATAGCATCGAGTCTGTGAAATAGACCCCTGTATAAATCATGGACCATATAAGGCCGAAATCTGAAATCCTGTGGACTAATCTTTATATAAGATTGTTGCTAATATATTATAGAAGTTTTCTATACATACTTTAACCCTTCCTAACACAATGGTGACAAAATATGCATGAAATGACTCTATCATTTCTGAAAAATGGCCTGAAAATCAACACCTGAAGGGTATGTTTTATCTGTTTCCATGGCAACCGCTTAACCATGTGACATGAAATTTTTATGATATATTCAGTTAGCCCATACCAATATATCCAAGTAATTTGGATACATTCCACAGAGTATTTTTTGAGTCCCAGTCCAATTTTATAGTAGGGGTCCAAATTATAGCCCATGGGGGGTAAAATGGCCATAAAATCTAAAAGCTGAAACACTAAGATCTAATAATCCATACAAATATGTAAAATCATACTAGCAACATGAAAAATGATGTCCCATAAAATCCCTCTGAACGAACGCCTAAACCCTCATTCTGACTGCACTATTATGACATGAACAGAAGATAATGATAACTATGAAATAATATACTAAATATGGTATTCAGTTAAAGGCCTGTGTTAAGTTTGGAAATATAGTTTGTTTATTCAATGAAAGGTGCACTTCTTTTCAAGTGTATATACAAAATATGTTTTATACAAAGTATGGCACTTGGGTATCACATTATCATCAAAAGCCTAAATTCACACATGTACAGCAAACGAGGCTGATGCTTTAACAACTTGTATATAAATATGCCATTTTGCAAGTAAGGCCATTTACTTCTAGTTCTGCTAATATACATTACACTACTGATTAAACCTGTTCGGGAAAATCCCCTTGAATCTCTAAGTTTGTTAAGGATCCATGCTTCTTGTTCTCCTCGTCAAGACGTTGTCTTAGTTTTATAGCAGCATCGTAGTCTTTGTGTTCGACGTGCAACGTCAGTCTTTTCTCGAGATCAGGTTTGAGAAGCAAATCGGGCCGATTCTTGAGGAAGTACAAGGACTGTCTACGCTTGGAGTATTTCTCCTTGGGTATATTCTTCAAGTGTTCCTCGATGTTAAGGTCATCATTAGTGATATCCACTTGTCTTTTAACGGCTAAGAATCGTTTTGCGAAGGCCAGGCTCAGAGTCCCTATCTGTTCCTTTTGTTTTTCTTCTTCCTTCACTAGTTTCAACATTGTAGTTGGTCTTCGCTCTTTGAGGCGATCTTTGATATTATCAGTCTCGTCAACAATCGTATTGATGGTAATGTTTGATGCGATACTGACGTTGTCGTCCGGAGTTAATTTCTGTAGATCGCGGGCTGTTGCAATTGCGTGTTGTATTTCATCTGATTGGTCATTTAAATGCGTTGTCCCACACGTAATCGGTGTGGTGGAGACAATATGCATGAAGGTCTCGTAGCGGTGAAAAATCATACCTACAAACTGCAACAGAAGTATGAACCCGAAAAATATAACAAACACAGTGCCAATTGGTTGGATTTCAATAACGGAAGCACCTGTGGACGGAAGTACACATGGTATCTTAAAACTGATCCTTTGTATCTGCATGACGTAAACGACAGTGATGTACAATATATTGATCATACAAAAAGCGAAAACGACTTTGTTTCTAAGTTCCTTTAGCTGTAGCTCGATTCTCTCTTTGTCCTCAGGTTTGATATCTATCGGCTTCAGATATGCCTCGATCATTTCTTCCCAGAAAACTTTATCTTGGGCATTGAGTTCGATAATCATACCATCTCCTAAATCTTGGTCTTCTATCCACGTTTTAGGTTTGTTGACGCTTGCTATGCTATCAATGCTATCGATATCGTCCTGGATGGAGGTATCTACAAGAACAATGAGTAATATCATTAAAGTCTGGTCATCAGTTTATAACAACAAACCTTTCCAATAACCCCTCCTTTGCCACGCCAATGAAACGAAAGTATAATGATTAGATTCATGATGTCATTGCAATCTGCCGCTCGTGTTAGACAGATCAAGAACGAATGTGCGTGGTTATCTCAGTGATAGGATGTAGGCAGCAATGTTTCCAATCAAAAAGGACTTGCTGCTCCTTTTAAACTCTAAGACTAAGGTGTGTAAATACTGCACCTACAACCTCTTCTGAAGGGATTATTCAAAAGGTCTATTCTCAGGGGATTCTGCATCAGAATCGGAAATCATTAAATGTTTTAGATCACTTTACAACTTATAAAGATGGGAATACACCTTTGCGGAATGGTACAGATTACTTACCATCAGACACAATGTTTCCAAGATGATTCACTTTAAGCTTGCGTTCCCCATTGGCACCATGATTTATTTGCTCAACGTTATCACCTCCAATGTCTCGTTTTGCTTCCAGTTCTGCAGCAGCTCGCATTCTCATCTCCATCTGACGTTCCTGTTGATTTGCATCAAATAGACAACGAATTCCACAACAAGTTATTCCTTCTTTTGTAACTCCTGCATATTGTTGAGCACGAGCAAATATAGCTCCTAATGTCCCGTTCAAACCACCAGGTACGTTTGTCTGCTGCTCCTGGATCAGTCTTTCTTTCTCCTCTTCAAATTGCGTCTTTTTCACTTCCCTCGTTCCCCACGAAACGTTGTTTAAATTGCACAGCGAGTAGATCATTAACAGCACAAATGTACTCGGTACGACCATGTAATAGATCAACGCATACAACAAGCAGCCAAACTCGTGAGGGTGCATTAGACCAGCGATTACAAATATTGAAATGAGGACGATCATGAAAAGAGTACTGACGTCGCATAGTCCTTTGTCTCTTATCGCTGCAAATGTGCTTACCATCACAAGCATCATGACTACCGAGTATATGGTAGAAATTATAGCTGCTATGTACAGCTAAAAATGAACAAATAAAACAAGTTTTAAAAATCTTTTAACCTTTCAAACTTAGTTAGACTTTGGAGGATACACTTGGAATGTTTCTTTATGGAGTCAATATGAGACCATATGATAATGTGATTATAAGTTCATCTAGTGATTCTAGTCTGTCTCAATAAAAGTCTTTGATAATGTTCTTGATGCCAGATAGTATCAAGGTGGGCACATCTTAAACATACCCTTTCATACTGACCCAATGTGCATTAAGGTCCAAAATTTGGTCCCATAATGCCCATCTTATGGAATTTCCAAAATGACTCATTTGATCGGCTTGGACATACTGATCTAGTTCTCACCTGAGTCTCTGACTTGAGTGTCAAGCATACCATCGTGAATCCAACCACAAGAGCAGCATTAATTGATATAGAAATTATATTGTCTGGTGGTTGACCCGGTGCAGTTATCAAATTCTGGAGAGCACCAACAATAACTAAGAAAACAGTCCCAGGTCCTAATATGGAAGATCCAAAAAGGGCCCCTTGGTACGCCATATATAACCATGAAATATTATCATTCATTTTTGTTGTTTGTTTGGCTGACATCAAAAGATCAAGAATGTTTGCTAGGGTACTAGGGGTCCATCGTCGCCTCTGGTTAAAGAACTCCGAGAAGCCTTCAGGGGCGTAAGTGAGGGCATCAGCAGCTGCCGAATATTCTACTCTATACCCTTGTTGTAACAACAATGTACAGAGCCAACGATCCTCACCTATAATGTAATCAACGAAAAACTGAAAAAGTATATTTTCATACATCTTCATCTCACTTCTTTGAGGGCTCCATACATCATTCACATTGTTCCTGGAAAGAATGGAAAAAATCTAGAGCCCTGCTTTCAGGGGGGGGGGGGGGGGGGTGATACATCTAAGTTTTATAGAGAAATACTCAAAATCTTGACCTAACTTGACCTAACTCAACATACTGGTATAAATGGTAAACCTCCTAACACCACACAGCAGTTTCTCTTATCAGTCAAGACAAGTAAGTAAGTCAACATTAGAAAATAAAAATCTCAAAAATTGTACATCTTTGATTTCCAAAATAATTTGTGAGGTGGTTATTTAGATGATAATACACATTTTAACGCACTAATTTTGAGTACATCTCGAATCCATTCTCAATAAAGCGTTCTCGAAATAAGTATTCGATATGTTCGAGTTCGGGATGATAAAAGTACGTTAAGATATACAGCTCCTTAACAAACTCCTTTGGGAACAAGATATAGAATCAAATGCATATTCTTCCTATTTACTCCCTGACACATGCCAATGAATGTTGAGTAAGTAAATATATCCGTTTTAAAAAAAATTGAAAACGTTGTTCTCTACAGGTGTCATTTTTTATAATTGAAAAACAAAATTGAACATTTTGCATTTCTAAATTGATAAGTTTCTTGGAATACAATTTAACTGTAAACGATTTAAGTCATTAATAATATTTCCCTTAGTGAACCCATGCTGAATAGACAGTAACTGGGTCAATGTTTTGTGTTCAACCTTGTTTTCATGACTTTTAAACATGAGTCGACGATTATGTAGGAAATTTCATTTCCAAATGTAAGCGTGTCAACTCCTGTTTTTGCACAATATTTAGCCCTTTATAATGATAGATCGCCAAAATATGCATGTACCTCTCAATGAGGCGATATGTTTTTCAATTTATAGATGTAAACTATAAACTAAAACAAAAATTCAAACCACCCGCTCTATTATTTTGATTACACAAGACGAAATTTCCAATCCCGGGGAGCACTTTGGTATCACTTTGAAGGAGGATTCTTGAAAAATCGTTCGAATTTTCACAAAAGGTTTCACGTAATTTTATTGCTTTGTTTAAGCCTCGACTTATATCATACTCAAATCCGATACCATAATTATGAATCAAAATGAAACATTCAATTCACCAGGTTAAATAATAAACCGTTTCGAGAATTGATGATTTGAGTTAATTTCGGATATTTATATAAATGTAAGTTGGCATGTATTCGACAGTTAATGCACACACATGATGCATGCATCAACGTGTGACTTAAATATCAATTCGTGACTATCACATTAGGCTTCCAAAAATTAAGTTGGAAATTACAGTGGTAGGAGATTAACGAAAACGTCAATCACATCCAAATATCCGTACGACGCCAAGTATTAACAAAACGCGTTTCGTGCATCTCGAGAATGGAAAGGTTCTGTTATCCAGCAATGTGCATTTCGAAAGAAAAAATTCACAAATATCAACAAATTTCATTGAGTAGGATATTACATTCGAAATCACAACTTTCAAACTATTTTTTTTAACCAAGAATTGTAAAAACTTGAAACATGTTGTGAGTTTTTGACACGCATTTGTTTGCTCGATATCCTGAACAAATAAATGCAATACCGTCTTGCAATATTTGAAAACCGAAAGTTCATTCTGTATGTAAACAAGAAAAATACATTTATGGTTGGTTCATAATGAACAATGACGAATAACATTTATCTTTTGAAGTAGGGGTATACAGGGACACAGTGGAAAATCAGAAATTTAGGTCATGTCCCAAAGATTGCTTCATCAATATGTAACAGAACATCAAAATTATCATTTACACGTTTGCTGATAGGTTTATTGAAAATAATTAACCAGAGGTTTACTTCAATTGTGGCACCATTCTTAGTAAATATTGATGAACATACGAATATCGAATGTTGACTAAGTTACTTGTCTTGACCGTTATATGAAGCAATAATAATGATTAGACAATGATAATACCATTAGAATCTATTTGCAAAAGGGTAGATCCAAAGGGAATCACAAAACGCAATGAGAAAGGAAAATTATGAGAAAACCAGTCATAAGGAGAACCAGAACAACGGCAACGCCAAAGCGTAGCGAATCCCATCGAACAGAAATGGCTGGCATTTTTACAAACGAAATATATAGCAAATATCATAAAACAACAAACCAGAAAGGCTACCATTTTCAAAATGGTTGCTCACTCGCCAAGTTGTCATCAGAAGAAATAATATGCTTTTAAGTAGCCACCTATAAAATTTTTGAAAAATCGCATACGTGTACTTGTAAAATAACACACATAAAAATGGTAGCCATTTTTCAAAATGGCTGACTACTCCCCAACGTTTTATTAGACAATGTGCCATGCTTAGAGTATTCACATATCAAATATGAACAAAATCGCTCCACTACTTTTCGAGTTTTAGTAAAAAATGTAAAAATGACAGCCACTTTTTAAAATAGCCGCCTACTATCCAAAGTGTCATAAGACAGTGTGCAAGGCTCATGAGTATTCAGATATCAAATATGAACAAAATCGCTTCACTACTTTTCAAGTTATATTTATTTATTTATTTATTTATTTATTTATTTATTACAGTGTCACCCGTAATTATACGGCCAGCCTCCAAAGGCTTATGAGACACAATTACAATCATAGTAAAAAACGTAAAAATGGTGGCCATTTTTCAAAGTGGCCGCCTACTACCCAAAGTGTCATTAGACAGTGCGCCATGCTTTTAGTATTCACATATAAAATATGAAACATACCAAATATGAACAAAATCACTGAACTACTTTTCAAGTTATAGTACAATACGTTAAAATGGGGCCATTTTTCTAAATGGCCACCTTCTACCAAAAGTGTCATTAGACAGTATGCCATGCTTTTAGTATTCACATACCAAATATAAACAAAATCGCTCCACTACTTTTCGAGTTATAGTAAAATACGTTAAAATGGCGGCCATTTTTCAAAATGGCCACCTTCTACCAAAAGTGTCATTAGACAGTGTGCCATGCTTATAGTATTCACATACCAAATATGAACAAAATCGCTTCACTACTTTTCGAGTTATAGTAAAATACGTTAAAATGGCGGCCATTTTTCAAAAAAAATTTCAAAATGGCCACCTTCTACCAAAAGTGTCATAGGACAGTGTGCCATGCTTATAGTATTCACATACCAAACATGAACAAAATCGCTCCACTCCTTTTCGAGTTATAGTAAAATACGTTAAAATGGCGGCCATTTTTCAAAATGGCCGCCTTCTACCAAAAGTGTCTTTAGACAGTGTGCAATGTTTATAGTATTCACATACCAAATATGAACAAAATCGCTCCACTACTTTTCGAGTTACAGCAAAAATGGTAAAATAACGAGTAAAGGCCGCAAATTTTCAAGATGGCTGCCATGTGCTTTTTTAATATCTACATTTGTAGCTTTATTAATGTCCTTTATAATTTTTTTACATTAAAAACATACTGCTATTACAGTTTTACATATTGCACCTAAATAACTGTAAAATCGGCACTAAAATGGCCGCCATTTTGAAATGAGTGGCCATTTTGAAAATCGGCTTTCGAGCAGAACTTCTACCCCCATAGGGTATATGTGTACAAAATATGAACAAAATCGGGCCAACGGTATTTGAGTTATTGCCCGGACGGACGGACGGGCGTACGGACGTACGTACGGACGGAGGCGTTCCCTATATCCCTCCGAACTTCGTTCGATGGGATAACAAATCCCAAATATCCCAAACTATGATCTAATGGGCAAATAAACACCGCATAATTTAGAAAGGGCCAAGAAAATTACCCACAACTAACCAATCATTATCTTACGTACCTTGGTCATACTGTACATAGTGCATTGGTTCGGTGGCGACCTTGGTGTATCGCCGAGCAACGTTGTCGTCCATAAGGGCCGAACCTCTGAAAAGACTAAAGCAACCAGGACTACATAATACACAACCAATCACGTGCTCTGTTGACTTCTGAAACCAATGCCCTACTGCATATTCAAACTTTTGATACCAAACTAGTGGACCTGAAAGAAAATATTGATGTTTTTTAAATCAAGCGAAGATATGGGAAAATAAGTGTTGCGTAATGAGCCGTTACCAAGTACTGTACATTGTACCAAAAACTCAACGCCAGTCTTTTTTCAACGAGGCATTAAAATGCAAAATGTCGCCACTTGCCATTTGTTACAGACGCTGACAAACTTACACCGTCCACAAAAAAGTTTATGTCACCTCTTCTAGTGTTGGCATAAAACGTGACATTTAACTTGGACCTTAATCATATATTTAGTTTACCAGTTCCTATTGGGTGTATGCGTCCACACGCTGCTCCAACTTTAATATTACGACGCATGAGATCTAACAGCATGGTAACAGCCAACGGCTTAAAGTCAACGTCACCATCAAGGGCAAGGAGGTAGGTATTCTCAGCCACGGCCTGCTTCCTCTTTGGATTTGTTATCTTCTCCCAAATATTGCGCCCAAGAAAGTAGTACATGTACATCACCTACAAATGTGCCTGTGTGCCATCATTTGAATCTTAGATAATTCTACCTTTTAACAAGGCATAAACATGACAAAATGTCACCACCTAGTTCCTCACAATGTTATTTAGTCAGATTTGAACTTCTAAGAACTTGTAGATGATTTTGTCTAAACAGTTATTTAAAATTTGTTACAGACGCCCGACGCCATCCATCGACCGAGAACTTCCAACCTAAATACGAATCTGATGGTGCTTGAATGTGAACATGCACTATTTACATGACCATTGCTCCCCACAGATTCATAGATCTTCTCTATACACACCCTTTATATCCCAGCTACTCTCCATTCCTTTAGTTTTCGATTACCAGCTTATATCATATAACCAGCTTATATCATATCTACATTGGATAAGCCTGCCATTTGAAAAATATAGTTATTTACAAACCTGACTCCATCGTTTTTTATGTCTTATTTTAGTCTTGTCTTTCAAATGAACTATTACTCTGTTCCCTCCTGGTAGCCGCAGTTCGAGTTTCCCTCCATACGGAGTCAGCACTTTCATTGGTTGGGGAAGATGAAGCTTGACCCCATGAACGGCACTTGAATTCCAATCAGAACATTATTCTTACTAGTAGTTTATAACATAGTCAGTTACAAAATCATTAAAATCCTATCATCGGGTTTACGTAAATCTATTTGAAAAGCTGCTTAAAATTGTACAGTGAACTCCAATACAGAACCTCCACAGTGGCGTAGCCAGCAATTGATGACCAGGGGTTCCATTTTTATGTTATCCACAAATCTCCCCCTTCATCGGTGTACCTCACATAAAGCATTTTTTGTATTTGTCATACATACAATTTACACCCCTCCTTTTTTTGAAAAGATATTGAAATCTGGTAGCAAAATCATACATTTTAATATAACATTTGTTTAATTAAAGAAATCCGAATCAAGGGTTAGCATACAATGAGCCAACTTTTGTTAAGGGCGCTACCTCATTCCCAATTCATATTTAGAGTTCATTCAAAGATATGTCAAATTCTGATACATGCTATTCCCACACTTTTAGATGATTTTTGAAGATTCCAAATCAAAATAATTTTATCTGCCATTTCATTTTGTAATAAAGGAGTTCATAATGACCTCATGAACTTACAGTTAGTTACCGAATACAAGTATATTCAATAGCAAATTCTTTTGAAGAATGTAATACTTATTTAATCATCGTGCACAATAAAAGTCGTAATGGCTGCACGAATACTCTCAATTGGTACTGACGATAGAAGTGACAGATGACAAATAGTATCGTATTAATGTAATGAAACATAGGCTGAAATTCCAAAAAGACCAAATTGAAATAACAATATATCCACTGTGCTCTGTAGGCTCTAGCATTAAACATTTCTTTTCCTTTCTATCACCGTTCCGCTGTTTTTATCATTAGTTTTGAGAAATGAATTTAAGATGAACTTGTAAATCATTATAACTTTATTATCTTATTAAAGAATGCTGTCAAATCCTATTTAGACACACGATTTGAAACTTGTGGAAAACTAATCCTTTCGTCTTTCTAACAAATACACCCCCCTCCAAAAGTTTGACAACCTTACAGTAGCTCCCTGTCTCCTATATTTGAATTTTTATTTACATAACCTGGGAGGAAAGTACTTATAATATTGATGAAAATGTGACTTGACTTCATTTCCAATGCCTCCGAATTTTCCTATTTTTTCTTCTAAATTTGATGAATTTTTGAAAATCGTCATTCCCATGTAAACCAAGAGGAACCAATGGGCTCTGTAATTAGGTCTTTGAAGTCTAAAAATCTCGATAATCCGTTGGCGATTATCAGTGGATCTGTTTTTTAGAAAATAAAAAGTGATTATCAGGATGCAATGCACTGACATTGGTACACCACGTGATTTTTTTAAAATATTTTTTATTATGAACTTTTTCCCTTAAGTGTGAACATAAAATACTTATTCGAAATAATAAATCTAGACTTATTTGATATAATCCTCCTTATGCCTTTGCTTTCCTCAGCAAAAGATGACTGCATCTGGGTTTTTTATTGGACAGAAATTTCCACTGCACGTAAATGTGTGTATCATTTTAGCTTACACTTGTATCTACAACCAGAAACATACATATTGCCTCCCTTTAATCCATGTATTTGCTAAACATATACATATACATATACATATAATCAATGACATTAACACGATCCACTAAAGTTTGATATTCTTGAAAATAGAGCGTTTACTAAATACACCGAAACAGCTACAATTTAATCTTAAAATGATCTTCGAGTTGAACGTGCATCTGAAAAAAAACTGATTTTTTCGCAATGGATTTATTTTTCCTTAAAAAGTGATTGATAATAAATATCCATTCAATCGAATGCTGTGTTTATAAATGGTATATATGCTTTTAATAATAACTCATTTCAAAATGTTTCTATCGAGGACTTATCAGCCCCGGTAACTTAGCAAGAATTTTTTTGTTTGAAATAAAACAAAACGGATGCGCACAGATTTGAAAGAAAAAGTGTTTTCATCAGTATTAAGACTGTTTATCTTCAAAGTTGGTTTATTTTACCGTAGATTGAGCAGCTTTTAAGTTGGAAAATAAGTTGTGCGAAATTATTGATATTTTTTCTTTGCGTTATGTCATGATGCTCCGGAGTCTTCCCAAAATTAGACAATCCCACCTCGTGCCTGAGGTTGCCAAACTTTTGGAGAGAAGTGTAACTTTACTGTTTTTATCTACTGGTCATATAAATTGAATATATGTTTCTGGTTATTGCAATTAATTTTTCCACAAATATTTGTATGTGGAAATCCCGACCGGGGGTTCGTCCGAACCCATCGAACCCCTGGTCCCTACGGCTATGCTCCAAGAGGATGACTTATGAGTGATCAAATAATTTACATTATCATGGTTTAAAGAAATAGTGTTGTTTATACTCTTAAGCAGCTATAACGATCGTTAGAGTGAAATAATTTTCACACTACTGATGAGAAAACATGTCCAAATACATTTAACAAAAAATTATATTGATTCCTTTAGGTTAAAAATACCATTTCATATCTGTAGCTGAGATATTATTTGCCCATTAGCTGTCTTATTCATTGTCAGAAAGAGGGGGGGGGTAGGGTAAGAATGATTGATTACTGTCAAGCCGTGAATACCAATTGCACTATTTTCGTATAAGTTGGAATCTTATCTAGTGCCAGTACACTGAATATCAGAACCAAAAATATTAGATAGATGTAGCTCTCTTTTGAAAGAGAAAAATCAAACAATTGGAAGGATACGTACCTTGCTGCTAGGTCTATGATTGATATAAACTGCTTCACAAATGAGTTCACTTTAAAATACTCATCATCAAGACCATGGGCTTCAAATGCGTCATCAAAAAAGATATGAGCTGTAAAAATATACACGAAATCATGTATGTCTACTACATATTTCACTCTTAACTATTTTGTTTGTTTTTACGTATTTTGCTGTATTTGTTGTACAGATGTTGGACATGTCTGCTTAACTTGCCATTTGAAACTTTGCATAATCTAATTTAAGGTAGGCCATGTCCTGTATAAAGAAAAGTATAGTAAAAACAGTCCCACCTTAAACCAATTTTTAACATCAATATCATTTCGTCAAATCAATATCTTGTTTAAATAAAATGATTCTATAAGTTAGTCTGGTACCTTCGAACTCATAGTAATCGGGGTCAGTTACGCCTAAGTATTCTTGGGCGTTCCTCCTGGCACTCTGGTCTATGTCCATTCTAAAATTTGATAAAGGGAAGATCTTCATCCAATATTTCAAGGTCAACGTTTTTCAGGTGTATGCACTGTTTCATTCAATTATGCAATTATGTTCGTAGAAATGACTAGACATAGGCATTGCATTGGTAACATTAGCAACTTATTTCATAAATACATGTAAAACAAATGATAAAAATTGTCACCACCTGTTAGAGATGCCGAGCGTCAGACGCCCAACTCCAACCGCAGTCACAAAAATGGAGACCATAACATAAGTTGTGATATAATGAAATAGATCTTCAATCTGAATGACAACTTGTTTGGCTATATTCATCATCTTAATTTACCTAAACAACGACTTCATCAGTTGGATCATCTCTCTCTCGTTCTCATGCCACATCGTTGCGCACATTAACAACTTGGGCGTCTTGTCCCTTTGCTTCGTCAGCGTGTCATATCTTGAAAGAAAAAAGCGCAAAACATAAATAAATACCACTATAGAAAATGCACAACGAATAGATAAAATCTGTAGAGCTCGGTAACCGAATGAATTATATTTATACCGAACAATTTGTATACTATGCTACATTATGTTAGTACCTCAGGGTAAAAACTCGCATCTGATTGGTCAATTAGCGGTCAACATTTTTGCCTGTACCTCACCTGTGCATCATGGGATATCATATTATTGACCGCTTATGTTACTGTACTACACTTGTGAATTATGGGGAATATGACGTCATAATGTTTACAGAAAAAAACATGGTAGACGGACATTTCGTAAACGTTGATGAAAGTGATATTTTCAGACTTTGCTAGACGACAAGTATAGCAAAAATACAAAAAGAAACGAAAAATCAACATTAATTCACTAGTGAGTACGCAGTTATGTGCCGAGAACAGAGAGTTTAGCTACCACTGTCTTAAGATTTTCTTAAAAAATGATTGCTGGCGTGGTTCGGAGAAAAGATTGTGAAATGAAGCCATGATTGATGACTGTCGTTTATATGTGTATTATTAGTTTCTTCTGACTAACAAAACAATTGTAGACCTCTCCATTCGGTCAACCGTCAAAATCATATACCTCGACTGTAAACCTCGAAACTACTGTTGACCTCGACCTTCGGTCTCTGTCAACAGTAGTTTCTCGGTTTACAGTCTCGGTATACAATTTTGCCGGTTGACCTCTGAAGAGGTTAACAATTGTATACCACAGGTCATGATTACTACAAAGGAATTTGTGACTCAGTAAGTTTCGCTCTCGCAATTTTCATAATATCATTCATATCTAACATAACATCAGTGCGTGGTAAAAATCCAAATACCTTTTTCTGGTTCTCCTCTCTTCTTCCATATCATCATGTTCCATTTTCAGCTCTTCTCGAATAATGTCCAAAGACTACAAAAAAGCTTTCGCATGCAGTATGATGCGTTTTAATTCTCCTTTAATCCATATTTATTCATTTTCAACATTCAATGGAAAACATCCACGCACGACACTACGACACTTCATGTTTGGTATAGATAATCAAGAACACGTGATTAAAGACACGCCATTGTAGACATATAAAATAAATCATGGACTGATGACCTGATAACTGACGACCTATTTACATCTTTTTATGAGTACTATATAGTAAAAGGGACCAGGATGTGCCGGTTTTTTGACATGAGGAATTGGTCTTTACCTTCTTTTTCTCGGAGAACTTAAAGTGCTGTTCGTCCTTTCGTCTGTTGTATATCATTGATTGTTCCACTAGGCTCCCAAGGTACAAGGGCAAGACAAATAATCTATATTGCAATTGTAATGGATGAGGATGAAAATTAAGCAATTCGCTGCAAAATGAATTTGCCGAAAGGGTTCAGCTGGCAGTTTATTTTTCGTGATTGTACCCTTTAGTACAAAGTCATTAGACAAAAGGATGAACCGACTTTTGTATAAATTATAGCTTTTAAATAGTAACCCAGAAACTTGTTAATCTTGTAAATGGGTTATTCAGACATAATGAAAACCTTATAGAGGAGGAATTTGGATAATATTCAAGTTGTTTCTTTTTTAACTCAAGTTGGCGGAACGCCATGGGGTCAAAATATCAAAAACATGTCAATGAGAGACTGAATTGAGTCATATCCATAAGAAAAGACGTTGCTATTCCGTTCATAAACAGTCTTCAGTACATAAATCTACATACTAAAAATTGAGTTGACCTTACAAAACCTAACGAGAATTTTCATTAACATGAGAAATTGTTTTGTAAAGTCTTGCAGAGCGATTTAGGGCCTATTTTATTTTGTCAAAGTTTTCACGAAATAAGGACTAAGAATTGACTAACTAGATCTCATATGATTTTTCATGGACATCATAGTCATTTCGAATTTTACAACTAAAAAAGGACCTTACTTCTCTGTTTTGGCCAAACGTTCGCTCATGTTGATCCAGATGTGACGCGACACCCATAGTTGGGACAGCCACCAAGGCACAAACAACCAAAACTCCCACTTAAATATCAATATTGACAGAGAGTCTGCCGGGCAATGGAAGAACAAGAATCTAAAAGAAATGATGAAATGAATACCTCTATATATATGCCATACGCTCATCGGATCCTCATACTAAAACACAGACCTACACAAATGTATTGTCTCCGGGTGTGTACGATGAAGCTAGGATTACTCCAATGAGTGAATTATATCGGCGAGCCAAATATGAGTTAAAGGAGGGGACATTCTATCACTCCGTGATTTTCTAAATTTCAAGTGTTAAGAGGGGGTTCAGAATGAAAAATTGTAAAATTGGTCTCATGACTTACTTGGGTAATATTGACTCGAAATATCCCGGATCATCACTTTGGACTTGGCAGGCAAAGAGAAGGAGACAAAAGCAGAGGGGTGTAGTGAGCAGCATCGGGATCGCAAATGAGAAGGTCTGGATATGAACTTTGCATGCAACCTTAGAGAACATATAACAGAGGAATGAGGTCAGCATTTGAACCAGCCAAACGTCCATCCAATGCCAGTGGCCGCCATGTATGTCATCAGCTGATAGATCCGTGTAATTTAATCCCCTCGGGCACATTTTTCCATGAGCACTTAGTACAAAAAGTCGTCTGACAGCCTCGATTCCATCTGCTCCCATAATGCCAATCATTACTGCAACGGTAACTGCAATTTTCCAAAGGCTCACAAAAGCATACGTCTTGCTCCTTGATCTTCTTATATTCCTTTTGAGTATTTTCAACCATTTTGAAATCAGTCCGACCTGACCGGTAAAGAAATTCTCCCACCAACCAAAAGACGTAAGCACCATTGCAAGCGGAATTATCCATATATCATGCGAATAGTTTTTAGTTAGATTGTTTCGGATTGGCAAAACGCTTACTGCCGAAACCTGAGCTAGAAAGGCAAGAATGTCTAGTATGACAACAACTGGACGATATTGTTCTTTCCTTGGACGACAGACCAGCTGTAGTAAAGAAGGAAGAGTGGCCAGTCCGAGCATCAAGACCAACCCTTCCGTGGCGCTATGGGTCCTGAGGATATGGAACACGAACAGTGCAATACCCCCAGAATGTAGCGTCTCAACGATAAAGACCTGAAACAAATGAGCGCAATTATTCCAAGTATTCTTAATCTTATAGAACACTACCCTGATTACAAAGGTTGTTCCCAAAGTAACAGTAGACGGAGCTGAGTTAAACGAATGCGAAGAGCAATAGTACACAGATGACGTTGAAAATAACTGCTATGGTAGCCGTAATGGAAGGTTGACTTAGATCGTGGGTTTTAAAATGAAATTATCTCGAGTTCTTGAAATGTTGAAATGCCTATATATGAATGTAGGTAAGATAGTCTATGAAAGTCTTGGCAACCCAACTTGACTATTCGATTGAAGCACTAAGTCTAATGTTCACATGGATCAATTGAAAAATCTTACAAAAATGAATGCCCCTGGTGTTGGCGTCTGTTTAGATCGGAACATAACCCTATACAGAGAGCGCAGGAATACAAGGGCATGAGGTATACATATCACTAGAACCAGCCCCCATATCCACCGCGTGGTAGTTGTGTCACAGAATCGAATATTGCCGCTGTATATGTACTTGAAAGGCGGTTCCGGTGGTGTCTGAGTTGTTATCATAATAGTACTGTTAGAATCAGGACCGTCGGTGGTTACCGCGTTCGTAGTGGGCTCAGTTGTAGGCATGGTTGTGCAAGGGAAAGGCAGGTAGTATTTGTAGAAGGAGTATGAGCTGAACATTGATTGGTTTGAACTCAGAATTGAACATTTGTCGAGAGTCGTGTTGTCACAGCTAAAACAAAAAACTATTCAATATAACAATATTTTAAAACTGTGCGATATTTACGATATCAATCTGGAGTGCCAATGGTGTTAATGAGATATTGCTGAGTTACGTACAAAATATGACTGAAAATATGTAGTAGTTTACAACATTCAATGTACAGCCAAAAACGGACAAATCATTAATGAATGAATCAGAAGAACAATCAATAAGTCAACGGTTACGAAATCAACCAAAGAAACATATGATAACATAGATAGATCTTAAATACCTTAGTGTAATGCCATATCTACTGTTAGAGGTCATGAATAGAAAGGTCCCTTTGCTGACAACACTACATCCCAGTATTAAAAGGAATAATAGTCCGCATACAACAACCTGGGTACAAAATAGAATCTTTGAAACAAATAGGCCGAGGCCAGAGAGACTCTTCAGCATTTTGGTAACCCATTTCGTTACAGCACCGCTAGAGAGCCTTAAAGTTTAAGGTTCATTAGCAGACTTTAGAGACTGTTGTTTTTGTTTCATAAAGTTTCATTACTTCTAACATTTAACTTATATACAACATGTCGAAGATGTATCTTGAACCATTGGATATCGGAAACTTGAAACGGGCGTAGCGAGCTCCGAGGCACAGAATCTGACAGAATAATAGTTTTACGTTTTAAATAGAGGAGTCATATAGCTTTCGTTAATTCTCATTTTTCATGAGATTTTAAGAGATTTGCACTTTTAACCTCTAACAACTAACTTTTCGTTCTTTATAATAGCATATTTGAAGTCAGACAAAAGTTTTCTACAATAAAAACTAAAGTTATGTCATTTAACATATTTTCCATGACGTTTTAAAAAAGATTGGGCCAGATCTCAATTGATGCAATACTAAGATTTTTCAAAACCTTGGTTTATTCGTTTGACAACCAAAATGACAGTCAGGCTATGACAGTCTGGCCCAAGCAAAACGATGAATGACAAGGGTGACATCTATTAATTAAGCTTGAGTCAGCTATTTGGAAACTATACTCAAATCGTATTATAGACAGAATTAAATTGCATTTTTGTAACCCAATAGTCTGAAATATTAAAAACATTGTTTACGTATAGTCAATAATATGTATGAGGAAGTGGAGCTACAGTATGTCATATCTCTATTGTACTGGATTGGTTCAAATGGAATTTTGAAATTGGTGTGTCTCAACCTCTTATATAATGTGTTATTAGATACAAGTATCAGTTACATGTAGTATTGTACAATCATTATTCTACGAATAATGAAAGTATGATATGAAAGATAAGAGTACAATTAGGGACATGGTAAAAATGAATTTGATGGCATGTCTGTTAGTTTACAACTGGTGTGTCTCGAAATTCTCTGATTTGAGGTATGTGTATGGGCTTTCAATATACAAGTATTCTACGAACTATAAAGAGATGGTGTGAACGATTTGAGATTACAGTTGCGCATGAGTTGAATGCGGTGGTAGGTTAATTCATGCGCTGCAGTTGTCTGAAATACTGCGTTCGGATTGGACACACCTTGTTACATCTATATATTATGTGACGTTATTTTTATTGAAATAATATAAGAAGTGTTCATTATATTTTATATTTCAATTTGTAATTTGAAGGGAGGTACCTTAAATATTTTCATTGACATGTCTATACACGTGGTATTCGCCGAATCATCATCCTCATACTTAATCTCTCTGAATCCATCCCATCCCTTTTCTCGTTTCCTAAAATGATGTAAATTATAATTATGTAATTTTAAGACATCACACTACCATACCCCCATACTGTAGTCTGTATTTCTTTAAAAGGGATACAGGCTAACAGTGAGGTTGCAAGGACGTTCGTTAATTCTGAAGATAGTACCGTTTATTTCAGAAATACAGGCTATAGTATAATGGAGGTAGGGTTGTATGAACATGGGAGTCATTTTAAAACACTTGTGCCTTGGCCAAGAAGTTTTTAGTTTTATATTGTCTGACTGACAAAGGTACTTTACAATGGAGACAATGTACGACTCGAGTTCATAACCATAATGTTACGATTTTGATGCTGAAAAGACAATTTGAAACCTCCGAAACCTTGAGCCTATTTTTCCTTAGATTTGATTTGTTTGTTTTAATAGTAAGATCTGTAAAACTCACTGTCTGCTCTGTTCAGTGATTCCCATGCTTTCAATAACGTCTGTATCGTCAATATCAACGCTCCCTTGCCGACTGACGGACTCAGCCGGTCCCCAACCATCGGGAACATGGTATGCATCATCTTCCGTTTCCTCAGGTTCGATAAACGTCACCCCTGTTTTCTTCCCACTCGTCACTACGGGAGCTTCATTTGAGGCTTTTTCATCCGACGGCCATATATCAATGTCTTTAGTCTCCACACCATTTATGGCATTCGTTTTGTCGGCATCTTTGTTGGAAATGGGATCTAAATTATGATGGATTATCCCGTTCACTTTTTGAGCAGTGATTGTGATTTGTGGATCGTCTACCGGATTGGCATCGTTTCGGCTCATTCCATTTGGTTTGAGAACATCTACGTACGTTTTAAGATCATCGGAAACTTCCCTACTTTCCCGAAGTTTGCGTACTTCATCGGCGCCATCATCAGTCGTCTCTATTCCATTGTCGATCCCGTTGAGATCTTCTAATCCTTGCGAATAGCGTTCTTTAGTCAAAAGTTTATTCTTCAAATACCTTTTTGACATATTGCTTATTAATAATAATTCGATCTTATCATAGCATTTTGTGTTCTTTTACTATTTTGTTTATTCATTACCTGTTATTCCTATCTAACGCTTCCTTATGTTGTATCATGTTTTGTTCGTAGAATTGATAAAATGATATCAGAAGTGTATTGTATATCATATTTACATTGTTTTCTACCTTTTAACCACGTAATATTGTCGAAATGATAAGAAAATTTTTATAAGTGTATCATATCTATGTTGTTTTCTGAGCTACGTAACAGCCATAAGAGTCATACAAAACGCACACATAATACACAACAGACTAGGGTCACAGGTCTGGCCTATCGAAATTGTGAATGTAAATGTGGAATGTAGTTCAAGATCATCTGAGTTCTGCCTTATTCATTGCATATTAATATTAAAGGAGAATGATGTAATTTGCATAAAAGACGTATTTTAGATAGTGTTTATTGTTGCATTGAGTAATGATTACTACAACTAACTCAGTTGCTATACTTTGCTATTTAGTGTTGCCTAGGTGATGCGTGATGATTTGTATGAGATGAGTTGCCCATTGGCTGAATTGTCAAGGGGATGGCTTGTCTATTGGTCAGGGATTGAGTTGCCCAGTGATTGACTTATCTCTTAACCAAATGAAGAATACCACTGAATATGCTACAGTACAAGCAGTGTTCAAGTGCACAAGTGTAAGAGCAGTCAATAAGCCGACGATCATAGTTGACCTCACAAGATCATATCGTGTCGTGAAAATTTTTCACCACAACACAGAAGAAATATTAACCTGGTCCCCTAGTCATGGTATTGCATTCATGGAGTTGCCTATACATAACAAAGAGATTTATATTAAGTGAAATATATTTTGATTATTATCTAAAATATATTGAGTATTGCACATTTGTTAGATACTAAACAGCTTTTCCAATATCAGTTCCTCTAATCTGTTCTCTTGACCATTCTATATGATTGGATAATGATGTTTCAGTGAATAATAATTCTTAAACATTAAGAGTCATTATATCATTGCATCCAAATGTTTTGATCCAGAATCACAATGGTCTGATGAATTACAATGGTTTAATCCAATGATCCACAATGATATGATCCAATGGATCTCAATTATTTTGATCCCATGGCTTGATCACATGCATTACACTGGTCTGATCTAATGATTTGGAATGGTTTGATCCAATGAATCCCAATTGTTTGATCTCATAAGCCACAATGATTTGATCCAATGGATCGTGATCCATTGATACTCTGTAGTTTGATGAAGTAAATCATGAGGATTTTACAACAATAGCGTTTGAGACCCGAAATATTGTAGGCATCATTGCACTTATTTGTAGGAACATGTTGTCTGAGAGACCCTGCAAAAGAAAATATTTTACATGCATGAGTATATGTAAGATTACGTATTACTAAGTACTTGTATCCCATACATACTGAGATTCTATGTAGATAACATGTTGGAATATATACTGTATCTGTCCTGATATCTCATTTCCTAGATCCAGGATACACAGAAATATTTGTCCTGGTCCCATCTGTAAAAGAGTTTTGAAAAAATGTTGAAAAAGAATTTTAGAATCCTAGTAGACATGGGATATACACTTGTATAAGTATGGTAAGTTTTAATGATCCCTTAGGAAGATACACATGTTTCCCTCAAGATAAGCTGATCTAAAACCTCCCAGTAAATATACTCATATATTTCTAAAATTGTCATTGCTTCTTTAATCCATCTAGTTAGCATATCAGGTTCATCATAAATGAATCAAGAATTGTAGAACTCGAGTGGAGTGTGACCATAAAAACAACCATCATGTGATCCATAGCAATCATATCTCATCAATTCAAGTGATTATTATGGTTGTAAACATTAGAATCAGTTTTTTCCAGGTCTTAGTCTTAATATTCATTATTATATGCTTTACATGTACAGGCATGGACATCAGAAATGATGTCACCTGTTAACTCTGTTATATGTATTTTGTATAGTTATAATGTTATTAAGGAATAAATTGAATAGAAAAAACACAGCATTCAAGTCACTGCAAAATCTAGAAATGGTTCAGCCTGATTTTGACTTTTGGAACTCATCGAAAATGCAGGTTTTAAATGAGGCATTTACTATTCCACAATAGTAGATATACTCTAAACCAATTATGCCTTACCTTTGGCAACATGAACTGTATATTACGTGATTGGTGCCCTCCCCAAGTGGACAACTCCATCATAAAGCCCTTGGTACATTTCAACACAAGCTCTGCCCGTTTCATGCACCATTGGATTGTCATCTCCTACAAATAAAGAAATTAATGCACCTTAGGACACACGCAGTGATGAACATCACACTTGTTTATGAAAAATTCCAAAATCAAAATAGACAGAATTTTATTTACCCAACATGCCGAGAACACTAAGAGATTTTGCAACTCACTTATAGCATGTTCATTATTCCCATATAACGTGTAACTTATAAAGGTTTGATTACATCTTCATTTATTGCACATATAGTCCATAAGTGTCCATAAGTGTGATATTCTTATAAAACGTCGTCTATACATAAGACATACTTATTGACATACTATAGAGTTGGACAATAAATTATGACGAAATCAAACAGTTCATAAGTTATACGTTATATGGGAATAATGAACATGCTATAAGTGAGTTGCAAAATCTCTCTTATATCATAAAAATGCTACTTATTACATAACTCACATCTATATTTTTTCTGAACAATATATTAATTTAAAAAAATTCCTTATTTGTCAAGAACTTAACCCCTTAATAATGTTTATTCATAAACATCTTACCTCTGACATTTCATGCACGAGTAATAGTGGAATTGTGACCGTAAAGACATCATATCTCACACAAGCCTTTAAAATATTTCTGATTCCTAAGATGACGGGATGTCGTGAATTAACGTTATTGTCCCGTAAACTATCATCTACCACAAGATGGAAAACCAGATGGACCTCTGAGAGGTTTGAGTGGCGAGTGATGTAAAAGTCACCAGCTATTAATCTGTTAAGTTTGTCGTCTTTCTAAAAGAAAATATACATATATCTATACTATTACACAACAGTTCCCAGTGAATAACATCTGGGAATATATATATCCTTCGTATAAAAATGATATTAACCTGATCATCTCCCACAATATATATTGATCCTGTCCCTAGCCTCTCTGAGCTTACTCGGATTTAGAATGAAATAACTTTTGATTTTCTTTTAGAAGATACCCTGAAGTGTAGGAATCCATAAGTTATTTTTTCAGGTTTGGGTAAAATCAATTTTTATGGCAGGTTATAGTGGCGCCATCTAGTGATTTTAAAGTTGCAGGGTGATAATCTTAATTAATTTTTTTTTCAGCCAAACCTAATTTCATATTTTCCTTAGAGACTACTTCCTAAACTATGCATTTGAATTTTTAGGTGATCCTGGAAGGTCATTTGATGGGTCATTTTGCCTCAAATATACAGAAGCGCCACCTATAATCAAGGGTCTACCTTATAAAGTTTATTATTCTGAGGCTGTTATGGTAGATAAAATTGTTATTATTGGTGTAATAATTAGAACCATAAAGGGGACATATGATGCAGTATCAAATTAATATATGTGGGACATGGGAACTTAGAAAAATTTTTTTTTGTAAAAGTGGAAGAAATTTGACAAAATATCAGTTTTTACATATTACCAAATACATATGCTTTTTTATTTCTAAGGTAAACCTAACATGATGTAACAAGTAGAAAAATATATATTTAGACAAGTTAAGCTTATGGTTGACAATTACGGTTATTAATGAATACATTATAGACATAATGAAACCATGCATAAAAGGCGCCATCTATAGAAAATATATTTTTCTATAAGTTTCATTTGTTTGTAAATCATGTATGATTTTTGAAGGCAAAGTAAGAAACATAGAGAACAATGACAAAATTGAAAGCAAAATGCGCTTTTAGCCTCCCCAAGTCTTCCTGACCATTTCAAATATTGTACCTCCTAATAGATACATGCTATTTTATGAAATAATATAACCATATTTCAGATTCAAAGTATATATATCCACAGCAAAACACTTGAACGTAGTAACAGAAATACCTCTATTTTTTAATAAAGAATGCACTGCTTTGAATTTCTAGAAAATAGATGTGATTACGAATATGACATAAATATTTTTGAAAACTGCTCCCTGATCTGATTCTACCTAAATTCCAATTCATTGTAAAATAAGAGACTAGAAAACAACTGTTACATTCAATTTGTTTTGTGATATTTGATTAAAACAGTTCATTTTATCAGCATAAAACATTAATTAAGCATTGCCTCCAAAAGTTCACTCTCTTTTAAAAAGGGATTTTTACATTTATTTGTTTGTAAACTTGTGCATTTGCAGAATGATATGCAGTGTTGCCCACTCTGTTTGCATCCACATGATGCCTGGCTGCAAGTTTTGCATGTACATTGCTTTATCAAATCTTCAGGCCAAATCCTTATGTCCTGCTTTGGGATAAGAGAATCATTTGTTGGGTCCTTAATGTAGCCATATTGTAGGGGATCAAGTGTTACAGCTTCTTCATCTAGAACATGCTGGACTTGATATGTGGCTAAGTGAGCTCGTTTTATGTGGTCTGTGGTGTGATGTGGGTGGCAATGAGCTTATTTGAGCTGATTTTGAGTGATGGTACATCCAGTTCCTAAATTTATTCATGGTCATACATTTTGACCCAGATTTCAAAACTTGTACAAGAAACACTTCAGCTTTACTGCAATTTTCATCACTTAGGTTCTCCCCAAAGGTTGCTAAACCTTGAATGTATTCTGGTTTTACTTTCAATGCTGCAGGTTTTGTACCAACTTTACTTGTAACATCTGAACCAGTAAGGAAGTGAATTGCAGGTAAAGCTTTGCTTATATTCTCATCAACTCTCAGTGCTAATGTATGCATAGGAAGATATCTTCTTAATTATGGGAGCAGTTTTATGAACTTTATGGAATAAATTTTTCTAATTTTACAAGAATTCAATTTATAGAGGTTGTTCTTTATGATAGAAATTTTGATCCAATCCTCGATAGAGTCACATGTTATTTTTTAAATAAACAAGAAAATTCAGTTAGAAAATCCAGAAAATTTTCACAAAATGTTCTCACTGAATTTTCTAGTTTTTTTTATATATTTTATCAAAAAAAAATCTCTTAACAGTGTTTCCTAGGTACATTAGTGCACTCTTTGTGCAAAACTGAAAGATGAAGACAATTTTGGGAAGGCGTGATTGATATCTAAAAATTAACATGTGACTCTATGGAGGATTGCATCAAAATTTTTATCATACAGAATTACCTTAACATACAGGGTGTCAAATAAGTCCCGTCCCCCCCCCCCTATACAGCCAAAACCAAGATATATGGTATCAAGTGTGATATATCATTGGATAGATTGTCCAAAGTTACATTGATTGGCATATAGCTGAAACCTGTCAATCAATGTTACAAATTGCTACATTGTATCAATTGAGGTGACCATAGACCTAAAAACATGGCAATTTTACATATTTTAGGCAGGATTTTTAGAATCGGGCATCAGAAGTCAAAGGAACCCAAAATGTCAACATTTTGTGTTTGGCTGTAAATTCAACCAATTTCTGGATAGGGTTATGTGTGTAGAAAATAGAGGGGTGAGGATAGTGATAGTGATAGTGAAAACTCTTTAACTATAAAGGATACTATCAAAATATAGATAAATGTCATCCAAAATACTTGAGAGTTGGTGAGTTAACGTAACTTCGGATGATCTTTCCAATGGTATATCACACTAGGTACCATCTATTAAGGTCTTGGCTGTAGAGGGGGGGGGCGGGACTTATTTGACACACTGAATAAGTACTTTTAAATTATAAATGATTAATTACCAATTTTACAGCATCTATCTTGCTTGCCAGAAGAAAATCCTGAGACTGCCTCTTGCTGTGCTTTATAAATGTGACATCTTCACCAAATCGCTTACGCAAATATTTGGTGACAAGTTGCCCTTTAACAGGGCTACGTCGAAGGCGGTCACCGATCTCTTTGTAAATCTCTGATACAGAGAAGACTTTTCCTGTATTCAAGTCTTGTTGAATTTCATTGATGACATCATTAAATACATCATACATATTTGATTTATCATGAATAGAATTTGAATCAGTACTTTTCTGGTATTTATGGCTGTATTGTTTGTAACAATAGTTATGGTATAAGAGATCAGCTTCAATCACTCCTTTCACATCAGTGAGGTGACAGGTGCTGGTATACACTTCATCCTGTAAGTGTTGGGTTTGTACAAGAAACTCGGTAGCTTTCTTCTCTTCAGAAATTCGGGATTTTTCATATGTTTTGTTTTTTGTGACCTGATTACAATATATACAAACATTCTGGTATTTAGGTACATCAACAGCTTCAACAGAGGGCCTTTGTGGTAGGGAACATTTCATTTGTTTGGGTTGTGCTGTTGACGAATGAGGTGTATTTCCAACCATTCCTTCAATGGTTTCTTCAGTATCAGTTTCAGTTTCTTCAGTTTCTTCATTCCTTTGTGGAAGGGAACATTTCATTTGTTTGGGTTGTTCTGTTGAGGAATGAGGTGTGTTTCGAACCATTCCTTCAATGGTTTTTTCAGTATCAGTTTCAGTTTCTTCATTCCTTTGTGGAAGGGAACATTTCATTTGTTTGGGTTGTTCTGTTGAGGAATGAGGTGTGTTTCCAACCATTCCTTCAATGGTTTTTTCAGTATCAGTTTCAGTTTCTTCATTCCTTTGTGGAAGGGAACATTTCATTTGTTTGGGTTGTGCTGTTGAGGAATGAGGTGTGTTTCCAACCATTCCTTCAATGGTTTCTTCAGTATGCCGTTTTTGGGTGTATACTCTGTAGCAAGCATTGTTCATGTGATATAGAATAGGTGCGTTTTCAAGTTTGGCTACTTTCATATGTTGATAAACTTCATCATCTTTCATTTTGCTTATTCTAAGCAAGGTTGCAACACCTCTTGCTTGTCCCACAGTTGGCTTGACAACATTGCTGTTACTGTCTTTAAAATCATCTTGGCAGATAATACATTTTCCTGTTTCAAAGTTTATAGAAGCCATTTAGGAAGTTAACTGGAGAAGAAATAGATTGTTAGTGATTTTAAAATATTTAATCTCTGGGTCTAAAAAATACAGTCACAATTCAGGATCATGCATAGTTTATCATGTAACTGGGTTCATTTTAGTTATTAACGTTAATTCGTTAATCCATATGCAAGGAAATTTGACTTTCAAAGAAAAGCTGGATGTGATCATATGTTTTATTTTCCTAGACACCAACTTACATTCTATATTAGAAATAATTTGAATCATTCTAAGTGATCATAATTTTAATTCTTCTATTTTGTCGAAGATGAGCAATCTTTATATCTTAAATAAACCTTAAGCTTACTTACTTTAATCACATTTTAATAATTTTGTTTCCACCAATTCAATACATAGTCTCAAATATATACTAAATACAAAAACAGAGGTTAGTCAATAAGTCAATTATAGAGGATTACTGTTTTAAACAACCTTCATGCTAATAAGATGTAAATTACCCCAAAATTAGCTGCCATGGCTTTTAACAGGAGTTTCAGTTTTGAGTTTGATATTAACTTATGATGGTATAAATATAATATAAAATTAGATCTAACTCCATTTGGGTGGGATAGATTGAAGGATCATTTTTTATTTGAAAAGTGTAGATACATCTTTTGAGAAGCTCTAATTTTATACAAAATGTTTCTGGCAAAAATTACCTGTAAAATAAAATATAATTTATTCTAAAAGTGCACACTTATGGAAATGATATGATTAATAGATGCTATACTCTATTAATACAAAGAAACTCAGGAAAAGCTTTTCATACATTCATTAAGTACCGTGTTGTATTTCCAGAAGTTGAGTATTTGATATAATAAGGGGTGTATATCAAACACAGAATAATTAAATAATAATAATGGGCCAAAACCAAAATTCAGCCCTACAATTACTTCATTCATATTCTCAAAAATCAAAATGTATTTGTTTGTACTTGTTACATCATATAAGGATTACCTTAGAAATAAAAAAAGCATATGTATTTGGTAATATGTAAAAACTGATATTTTGTCAAATTTCTTCCACTTTTACAAAAAATTTTTTTTCTAAAGTTCCCATGTCCCACATATATTAATTTGATACTGCATCATATGTCCCCTTTATGGTTCTAATTATTACACCAATAATAACAATTTTATCTACCATAACAGCCTCAGAACAATAAACTTTATAAGGTAGACCCTTGATTATAGGTGGCGCTTCTGTATATTTGAGGCAAAATGACCCATCAAATGACCTTCCAGGATCACCTAAAAATTCAAATGCATAGTTTAGGAAGTAGTCTCTAAGGAAAAAGCAAGAAAATAAATATGAAATTAGGTTTGGCTGAAAAAAAAATTAATTAAGATTATCACCCTGCAACTTTAAAATCACTAGATGGCGCCACTATAACCTGCCATAAAAATTGATTTTACCCAAACCTGGAAAAATAACTTATGGATTCCTACACTTCAGGGTATCTACTAAAAGAAAATCAAAAGTTATTTCATTCTAAATCCGAGTAAGCTCAGAGAGGCTAGGGACAGGACTATATCCAGAAATTCATGTTAAATTGGATTTATATACTTCTTTCTCATTCAAACATATCATACTCATTTCCATTCATTTGTTTTTGCTTCTTAAAAGAGAGCTTTGTCTTTAGAACTAATCTCTGCACGCAGGGTAACAGATCGTGAAATGATTATTTACAAATTTTCATTTTGATTGTGATTTACCTCCCCACTTGAGTTGCTTCCTCCACTTTTTATGCTGACTTGATCAGGTTCTTCAATTTTGTTTTGACGCCACTCATTTCCAGCGATGATATTCTCTTCTATCGCTTGAAACTGTTTTTCTAAATCAGGGAAGTGGAATTCAGTCGACTGTTGGCACAACTTAGCAAATTCTGTAAAAGCAATTAAGATTTCACTAGGGATAATTTTGCATGCTGAACATTCAGGCTTTAAATCCGAATTTTCCTTCTTGATTCTAATTGACTTGCCATATCATCTTCTATTATAAATAATGATAAAGTATAAAGGTTCAAGGAAAAAAACTTTTCATTAGGTCCTTGTTGTTGTTTATTGGGGTCATTCACAATACTACACATTCACGTACAATTTCTTATACTTACACTCCCTTCATATTAAAATTTTCAACCTGTGTCATCAAGAAATTAAATTCCATACATGTACAGTCATACTGCACTGAACTGTATATCAAACCTATTTATTCAACCTTTTCTCTAATCCGAACATTTTTCTTGGTGCCAATTTTGTAATATCCCGTTATTTCACATATAAAGAAACCTTGAAATGTGAACAACTGCTTATTTGAACACTTATGACAGGTTCAAATAATATTCAAATTTAGACAAGTTGTACCATACTGTGATGATGCCTTGGTTTACCTTTTTTCAATCCAGTATATGAGTTGAGTTTATTGTCAACAAGAAGTATGAGCCCACAGAGGTTGTTTGAGTATAAAGACATCGCTGTTTGTAATCTTTGAGGCTGGGGAACTGCTACTCCACTAGAAAAGATTAAGAACAAAATATCACAAAATTGTCACTCAATGAAGAATATTTTTCCTTTGAAACTTAATGAATTAGGAAATGTAAATAATATCTGGTAATATTTTGATGGTATTACATGTTAGCATATAATAGGCTAAACAAAATGGGATAATAGCGACACTGATATTTTAATAGCAAAAATTAACTCAAATATTTGACATTAATGAAACTGGAAACATAATTATCTTTAATGGGAATAAAATACTGCTTATAAATTAGATTTGTATAAAAATCTTTATATGTTATCAAAAAACAAACAAGGCATTAACATGCAAAAATTTTTCAAAAAAAGTTGGAAACATAACAAGATGTCACCACTTCTGGTGGTGACAAAAGAAAGGATGCAACAAAATATCTAGACTAGATTACCAATACATATTCTCAGGGGACCAGCAATTCTTTAATAACATTGGTCCATAATTCAATTTTGACCAATAAGATCAAAATCAATGGGACTGGGGAATTTTTGTCCTGCATCATTTGATACTGAGTATGCCATCTAATTTGAGTGCCAAAACTATTTTCAATGCAAAAAGTATTGGAATGTTTTTTTCAATTTGGTCTTCCATTTGTAACATCCATTATGTTTCACTAAATAACTTTGAATTGAGACAATGAATCCTGGATAGTGAATCTTTCCCCTTTGAATGAATTTAGTAAAATCTCACTACCCAATAATGTTTGGAATGTTCCTACAGAGATCCAACACTTCAGCACACAGTAATCTCAGATTGTGGGTCGTCTTCTTTTGAGCACCTGAAATATAAAAAAAACAAACTATGTAGGTGTTCGTACGAGAAGTGATCACTGCAAGTAGGTGAATTGAAGATCTAGTTACATTTATCTTGATTTTTCTATCTATTTGTAGTTCAAGGTCAACAACTGTAGACCATAGTATACGCCATCTATTGATGTGAACTTCTGCAATATAGAACAAATGAATAAGTCATGGCTATGTTAAGTTATTTTAATTCATGAATAATGAATCTGTTTTCTTAGTAAATTATTCAAATGTCAAAGTTCATAGAACTAAAACATGTAGAAATACAACAGAATTTATTCTGAAAATACCTAAATGAATAGTGAAACTTTCTTCCATCTTTATTGGCTGCCAAATTTGATCTCTTTCTGTCGAAACTGCAGAGGTAGACATTGCACGTACCCTTTGACTGAAATAACATTAAGATTTTAAAATAGTAGAGCTATCTAGTGGAACACCTCTATAGGTGGAACAAATTATAATTGCATGTCCCATCGACTTAATATTAAATAAATGAACTTCTGTAAGTGGAACACCTCCCAGGCAGAACACTGGATGGGTTATATCACTTGATCTAAATAGATGGCAGTATCTCCAAAAATATGTAAAATTGTTGATTTGGTAGATGATTCTGATGTTGAAAATACAATCTTTCACTTAGTCTTAGGTTTGGCTATAGATGATGATCTCATCACCACCAAGTTAGAATGGTTAAAATTTCCAAATTCCAAAACAACTCACACTTTTTTAGTTTTTAAAGGCAATCAATCAAATTTTTACTCACACATACGACTTCACTCCATATAACATACTCACACATATGACTGTACACCATATAACATACTCACACATATGACTACTCCATATAACATACTCACACATATGATTGTACTCCATATAACATACTCACACATATGACTGTACTCCATATAACATACTCACACATATGACTGTACTCCATATAACATACTCACACATATGACTTCACTCCATATAACATACTCACACATATGATTGTACTCCATATAGCATACTCACACATATGACTGTACTCCATATAGCATACTCACACATATGACTTCACTCCATATAACATACTCACACATATGACTGTACACCATAAAACATACTCACACATATGACTGTACTCCATATAACATACTCACACATATGATTGTACTCCATATAACATACACATATGACTGTACTCCATATAACATACTCACACATATGACTATACTCCATATAACATAATCACATATATGACTGTACTCCATATAACATACTCACACATATGACTGTACTCCATATAACATACTCACACATATGACTGTATTCCATATAACATACTCACACATGTGACTGTACTCCATATAGCATACTCACACATATGACTGTACTCCATATAACATACTCACACATATGACTGCACCCCATATAACATACTCACATATATGACTGTACTCCATATAACATACTCACACATATGACTGCACTCCATATAACATACTCACACATATGACTGCACTCCATATAACATACTCACACATATTACTGTACTCCATATAACATACTCACACATATGACTGCACTCCATATAACATACTCACACATATGGCTGCACTCCATAAAACATACTCAAACATATGACTGAACTCCATACAACATACTCACACACATGACTGTACTCCATATTACATACTCACACATATGACTGAACTCCATACAACATACTCACACACATGACTGTACTCCATATAACATACTCACACATATTACTGTACTCCATATAACATACTCAAACATATGACTGAACTCCATACAACATACTCACACACATGACTGTACTCCATATAACATACTCACACATATTACTGTACTCCATATAACATACTCACACATATGACTGCACTCCATATAACATACTCACACATATGACTGTACTCCATATAACATACTCAAACATATGACTGAACTCCATACAACATACTCACACACATGACTGTACTCCATATTACATACTCACACATATGACTGTACTCCATATAACATACTCACACATATGACTGCACTCCATTTCCAGGATTGATGTGAGCTTCATGTAGTTTCATTACATGATTCTTATATTGTCTTTTTTGGGTCTCCTGTAAGTTGCTAAGTTCACTAGCCCATTTACTCTCTATGAGCTGCGTGTTATCGTAATGTTTCTGGGCAAGCTGATTCACTTGTTGGTCAGTATAAATTGTGCCAACTTTAGCTATTGCGTCCTCCATTTCTGCCTGTTGCCTGCAAAAATATATTAGACACATATAATAAATTGATTAATAAGTATTGCCCAATAAAATAGTCAGTTAAAATATATAGCTGCAGTATAACCTGTCTAATGCCTGGGTCACATTTGCTCCGATCCATCAGCCGGCGCCCAGCTGATTGAGTGTTTTGCTCAATATTGTATTCAATTTTGAACAAAATACTCAATTGGCCAGGCGCCGTCGTGAAAATCGGAGCAAATGTGACCAAGGCATAATTCAAACATCATTTGGAACAGCCAGTGTTCCGATTGATAGGTGTTAACATTTCAAGGTTATTTGAACTTGGGAGTTTATGGTGGATTAACAAATAGGACTAAAAAAGCATTCACATTTGTAGATGTTCAGATTAGAGAGGTGTTCTTATATACAGATGGCAGTATGTAGAATTCAATGCTTAACTAACAGAATGGCATTTTACCTCGATTCCAAGTGCTTCATGTCAGCTTCCCTTTCAGACTGCAGCTTCACAATGGCCAAGGCATATGTATGTTCCAGGTCTAACAGGGCCTCCATTGCTGGGGAGTGAATGAGAGTATGATAGACCTCTGAAAACATCTGGTCCTCTGTGACTACATCAGGTTTAGCATAACAGGCAACCTCCTGGAAAAAATATATGAACACAAGGAGTTAAAGGCCCTATGTAAAGTTAAACCACTCTTATATTGCAGTCTTACGGTCCCAATGTTATTAAACTTTTTCATGTAAAACTTTATTGGAAGTGGAGATCAAGTACCAATGCCAGAAATTGTCTTAGGCTTATGGTAAGAGCAAAGATGGGTTTCCTCTAAACACCTGCATATGAACTAGGGGTCCCACGATACAGTATCTTCAATTTCGAAACGAGCAACGATATTTACCTCACGATACGATACAAACGATACGAGCAATGTAAGTGCGTAACAAATAAATTTATTTAATAAAAACAAATATGTTAACAAGACAACTTAAGTATGCTAACAAGACAACTTAAGTAGTAGACAAACTACGTTCTCGAGAAATTTGAATTTCTTTCTTTTTCTCCATTTTTTACCGGAAACCGGAAATACATTCTTCGCCGGATTACGCTAGGCGGATAACAAAATGGAAACGGGACAATGGGTAGATACAATCGTATTTAAGCTGCTTTGGAGCATGATTTTGCTGTTTTGGGGAGTTAAAAACGATACAATTTTTTAACCGATATTCAAGGTGAGTATCGATACGCTCGTATCGTGATGTATTGCTCGAGCGCTCGAGCAAATCCGAGCAATTGCGGGACCCCTAATATGAACCAAAAGCAAGGCACAATTTAAACAATCTGTACCTATATATATAAAAAATGCTACCTTAAAATTTACCCAGCATGCTGAATATTTCAAATCAATCTGTCTAAAAGTTTACCTGGAAATGTGCATGCAAGAAAAGTGAGACACCACCCCGTCCCCACTTGTCAACCACCAAGTTGACAATATCATACCTTTTTGTGTATATGTACGATAACAAAATGATGAAAAGATGAAATACCCTTTAAAAGGCAGTTACAAGCTTGATAAAAAGGCAGTTAAGTTACAAGTTTGACAAAAAGGCAGTTAAGTTACAAACTTGACAAAGTGCTTATGGTCTTAGTGTTTGTGCATGAATTGGCAGACTGTTACCTGGTTATAAGACTGGGTCCATGAGTTCACAAGTTCCTCCATGGAGGTGATGTTATTCTTTACACTGTTCACTGCATTTATAGCTTCTTCATCAAATATTATGTTACTTTCATTTTTCGCAAACAGATTGAGCTTTTGACACAAATCTGAAAAATAAACATTTTGTGAATTTGGTTATTTTAAAACTACCATCCTCCATACGCATTACGCAGGGCTCCAAAAGTAATCAAGAATAGAAGGAGGTATGGATTCTGGACACCTGCTTAGGATGATGAAAACTACAGGATATCACTTCTTTATGAAGCCTGTAGCCAGAGAGGGAGGGGGGATATAGGGAGTACAAGCAAATCTCCAACTTGACCAAGAATCATGCATTTTTTAACATTATGAGCACTTTTCGAGTGATTTCATGCAAAAATTGTCAAATCTGAACAACCTGGAAATTTTTGAAAAGTGAACCCGCCCCTTTATAAAAGCTGGCTACGGGCCTGTCATGCCACCATCTGTGACATAGAATTTATGGTGGAAGCAGAAAACTGTAGACATCATGAAATGGCATTATGTTATTTATTAGCTATTCAAGGAAAAAAGATGTTTATAACTCAATTCTAAGTTTGCAAGGCTTATCTATAAAACAAGTCTAACGTAAATTTTGGAAAGTAGAATTTCTCGTCGGGAACTTTAAACTTTAGTTCATGGATGACCGGCATGCTAAGGGTCAAGCACAAAAACTTCCTCCATAAATGGAAAAAAGTGCCTATTTTTTGATCATTAGGTACTACATTAACCAATCAAATCACATGATTGCATGATGTCACAGATTCAGCAAAAACTGTCTTAGTGAACACCTCTTTCTAGTAAACACCTCTTCTCAGTACATACTCCACTGAGTTCTGTATAAAATTGCCTCTCTGTAGTGAACACCTACAGACAGTGAACACATTTGGGTGGCCCACATGTGTTCACTGTACACAGATTTTACTGCAAATGAAGATAGAACAATTTGTCTGATGAAAATACCTGACATACGTGACACATAACTATGATGTTGTTTCATAAATAACACAACATAAATATGAATATAAATGCAAGTGTTTTGAACTAGAATTATTTATATGGAAAAGCTCTATAAGAACATCTGATGCACATTCCCATATTATAATTTACCAGGAATCAATAATAAATGAAACGAATATCTGAGATGCCTGCCATATCTGACACTTTAATATGATGCTGTATCTAACTAGATAAAAATGATTATGATTATGTTTAAAAGACTTATAGCTGGAAATCTTGAATAATACTGAATAATACTGAATAATCCTTGAATAATCCTGAATAAACCTAATATATTTTGAATTCATGATGATGTGTTGAGTGTTACTAGTCTTATACACAATCAATAAACTTGTTGACACATGTACTGTAAACATACATAAAATGAACACTTATGGAGCCACCAAAAAGTGTTCACTGTAGGTACGTGTTCATGGAACAGGGTGGCAGCTAAGGCCTCGCAAAACGCCAAAACAAGGGTCAGAAAAATTTTTGGGGAAGGAAAATGCAATTTGTCTCGACAATTTCGGCGATAGATAATTGAGCCCATGAGAAACAGATATATGGTTAACCTTCTAAACAAATAGTTTGTCAATCTTACCTCTAGAATCGCTAAAATACTTGTAAAAGCAGGAAAAAGTTTTTTATTTATTTTTATGTTCCGGACCGCAATTCAATGAAAACGCACCTTTGATTGGCTTAAAACTAAGTGGTGGACTAATCAAAGCGTTCGATGCAATACATAATACAGCTTGAACTATGAACAAAATTATTCTTGCCGTTCCATAAATTCAACCAAAATAATTATTTCGTCTTCTTGCAATTTTTATTTATAATTCGATAAACGCTGTAATTGAGGAAGTTACCGCTGTATTAATCAGAAGTTTGAGCATTCACGACCTACAAATACCCAGACGAGTCATCGTATGATCGTTTCATACATGTAATTTTAAAATCATATTTTATTTGTTCGCATTTCTTGTAAAGTGCTTACGCACTATGCAAAATAGTGGCAAATTCGATTCACAATGTCTCTTAACTTTAAAAAAAAAATGTCCAGTCATAAAATATTTTGGCGAGTCTGAATTCAAAGTGGTCAAATTTGGCTAGAGTGAAAATATCCTTAGCTGCTACACTGATAGAGCCACCAAAAGGTGTTTGCTGTAGGTAAGTGTTCATATACAGAGAGGGGATTTTATACAGGAGTCAATTTAAAATGTGTCTTGTAGCGGTGTTCACTAAACACAGGTGCTCACTAGAGAGGGGTGTTCACTAAGACAGGTTTTATTGTAATTTCATAGACTGGTGATTCTCACTTGTTCATACTGTCATAATTAGACTCCATTTTTGATTCATTTCTCCTTGAAGGTCATATGAAATAGTCATTAACACATAATAATAAAGGAATCAATTTCATTTAAAGAGATCCAGTCGTCCAGATTTCTATTCTGTCAATCTGTAATGTCCCAATATAATTCCTCATGCAAATTCATGGCTAGGAACAATCATCAAATTGATACTGTTAATGAATTAATTCAAGCCCCAACATTGGTAAGTTGATAAACAATCTTGTTTTACATCAAATAACATGAAAAATAAGGGGGTTAATCTAATTGTGTTTTTAGAAGACTCAATCTCTTTAATGATGAATGTATTTGAACATTTAATCAAATATGTGGCAACTGTTTCACTCTCATGACCCTGGTGGCTGCTTAATAAGCAATATTTAAATGTTGTATCAGATAGGGTGAGCCAAAAAAAGGTAACCCTAACAAATGTACGTATGTTAATAATTAAGTCATTCAACATGGACATACCTCTTTCTATATAACATGGTAAGTTGTGGGCTTGAATAAGCCTTTGGGTAAACTCTTCTGCATTTTGTTTCAAGGGAATCGGAGTTGGCACTGTTAATCTGGACTCATCCTCTTTGCTTGAGAGCACATAGCTGAAATCCTTCACTACACTTTCAGACATTGTAAGACTGAAAAAGAATAAGAGAACTAGGAAAACAGCAACTCTCAAAAGTAGCATATCCCGCGGAATAAAACATATTTATCAAATCAGTCATATTTTGAGGATCCAAGTATCCAAGCAATATTATTAGCTATTATCTCTTTTGTACAATCCACACCTATGAAGTTTGTTTCTTTAGATTTTTTGTAGTGGTACAGTCAGGATCTTATCAGACAGTTCATGGGCCTAGGTATGCTGTACATGGAAAAGTAAAAAACATCTTTGTAAATCAAGTATCTAGACAATTTTGGGAGCATAGTGACAGTCAGAATTTTTGGAAATTATTGTTTCTATTCTAGACCTCTTGTGTCATGTTGTTCATAAAGAAGAATCAAGGACAAATTGGCCCAAATAAGAAAGAAATTTGTGCTTCAATCTCAATATCTATGATTTACAAGTGAATCTTGCTATGGTTTAAAGGTGCAACAAGGTCTGCAGAGAGAACTTTTGCAAAATTTTACCTTTTCTGAGCCATCGGCATGACATTAAGTTTAACAAGTCTTCTTCTATTTTCTTGAAGCGTATGGATATGGCTACATTTAACAACAATTAAACTTAAAAATACATCAGAAACATAGATGTTGGCCAGATCTTTTTGCAGTAGGATCTCATAGACTCAAAGAATAATTCAGAAGATGAGACACCAAATTGGAAAATTTCAAAAAAGTGACCACCTTTCAAAACATTCGTTATACAAAATGGTACCTGCTTCCCCATGGCAGATGAATGCACTTAATTTACAGCTGAGATCATCATCTTTCTATTTCTACTTGTTTGGTTCGATTAAATAACCTATGGACACAGTAATTTGAGTTTTAGTATGGCAAATATTTTTCACTTACCGGATTTTCTCGCATATAAGCCCTGGGTGTATAACTGAAAGAAGGGGTAATTTTGTCTGTTATTTTACCTCTTATTTTTCGCCCATGGGCATATAAGTGTACTACTTTCGATTTTTGGCCCAGTGGGCATAAAGGTGAGAAGAGCTGATACAATGGTTCCTCAAAGACTACCGTACCTACTGTTGTAGTCCTACCGCATGTTTTGTAAGAATTATAAAGGAAATGTCACCTGCAACCTTGGACTTAATGTTGAAACAAAGTAACAACAGAACTATCCACCACTGCCACTTACGGCACAGTGTTGAACTTAATGTTGAAACAAAGTAACGACAGAACGATCTGCCAGTGACAAAATACTCTTGAATTTATTGAAAAAATCTATAAATAGTCATTTTTACAGGCCCATGGGCGTATAAGCGTACTACATTCGATTTTTGGCCCATGGGCCTAAATTTAGGGGGGCGTATATGCGAGAAAATCCGGTAATCCGGGCTCTTGTATGTCCAAATATCATTGTAATTCTGACGTCACATTTCTGGAATCACAGGAGCACCATTCAGATTTGGACAGACATGAACCAGGCGATAAAATATCACTATTTTGGCTTCTTATCAAAGCAGTATTGCGTGAATAACGTTCATTAGGGATAAAAAAGAATAACAAGACGCTTTGAATGAGGTATGATTTGTCTCATATTTTTCAGAAATGGCTGCACAATCATCATTTTACAATTTCGACACAGGTCCGGAGCCAGATCCAGCCCCTATTGGTAGTAGGCTCAAAGAATAAATGGGAAGATAAGACACAAGTCAAAAATGGTACATCTGAAAAATCACCACCCAAAATGACGCTTGTACTGACCATTATCTTTTCCATCTCTCAAATACTGAGTGATCAATATTTACCCTGTAATCTCTTCTTTATGTATTAGTTTGAATGGTTGCATGATATCAATTATTGACGCTTTAAATGGAATTTTCCTGGGACATTTATAAAATTTTCAGAGCGTAAAGATAATGGAGTGCTTCGGTAATTTCTGGCAGAGTCCGATGTTGTTCGTCTCTCAAATTACTTCACATCGCAACAAACAGCCAATGAAAGTAATGGATCTCGTAGCTTAACAAACGTCATCCGAAGTGGCGTCACATTCTCCGAAATTTTTTTTTTCATTTATAGTTTATCTTATTTTCACAAAAATCAATAATTAATACAATTTGGCTAGGCTCAAAGAGCATTATTAGCCAAGTGTGAATGCAGTATACAAAACATGTATATAAACATGTTACCTTGATTTTAAGGTTTCTCAGAAAATACATTTGACTTCGGGAATAAACATTTGAACAACGAAAATAGCCGAAGCACTCCCACGCGGTACTAATTCACCGGGGCGTATTTAAACCAAAACGCCCCGCAAAACTGTTAATTTGAATTTTTAACCTACCCTTTCTTTGGAAAATCAATGATTGTGAGTCTCACAGTACACCGTTTTTCTTCAAACTTGTTCCATTAAAACCTTCACAGAAATACCTTTCACTCGAGACATTGCTTTTGCATATAGAGTCGCTCATTTTAGCTGCGTTTTGGTCCCCAGATGTGAGAAGATGCAAATCTTCAGAGATTTCAGCCAAAAGTCTTGATATATCGCCAGTTCTTTTATTATTCTCCCCTATATTTTGCACAAGGACTCCCATTACAACTCTCCATCTCGCTCTGCATCAACATATTTATTACATTAAACGCAGCAATTTCCAAAAGTCCTATGTATCTGTTCGAAATTGATCAAAACGCCCCGTTCTCTTCCAAAACGCCCCGTTGGATCTATACACCTTGAAACTACACGTTTGTAGTCATAGACTCTGCGGGCCGTTTTGGAAGACAACGGGGTGTTTTGGTCAATTTCGAACAGTTGCATAGGACTTTTCAGAATTGCTGCATTTCATGTAATAAACATGCTGATGCAGCGATGGAGGGTTGTAATGGGAGTCCTTGCGCAGAATATGGGGGAGAGTGATAGAAGAACTGGCGAGATATCAAGGATTGTGGTTGAAATCTCTGAGTCTGAGGATTTGCAACTTCTCACATCTGATCACCAAAACACCGCTAAAACGAGGGACTTTGTAAACAAAAGCAATGTCCCGACTGAAAGGTATTTCTGTGAAGGTTTTAATGGAACAAGTTTGAAGAAAAACAGTGTAGTGTGAGACTCACAATCATTGATTTTCCAAAGACAGGTAGATTTGAAATTCAAATTAACGGTTTTGCGGGGCGTTTTGGTTTCAATACGACCCGGTGAGTTAGTACCGTGTAACTCCATTAAATATACGCTCGCTTATTTTATGTTTTTATCAACAGACGCTTTCTTGAATGTGTGGTTTTAGTGATTGGAGATGAAGCTAACAACAGTACGCATCGTTTGAGGTATGACATGTGATATTTATTGATAAACTGACTCCAAAGACCGAGGTAATCAAGTGGTCATGTGTTTGAAGTTAAAAGTCAAAGTTCAAAAATTTGCATATCTCGTTTGGATCTTGTGAACTCACACATGCTTGACATTGATTTCGCGATCTACTTATGAGAACACATCCTGAAGTTTTGGTGAGTCTGAACATTTCATTATTTTATATCAACTTGTTCCTGCCTTATGTTAGTCTCAGTTTAGATGAACATCTCTACAACATATTCACCAATTTTCAAGGTGAACATTCTTGTAATAAACGAGAAATTTATGTGCACAAAATATCGCTGCGATTTTCATGCGAAGGGTATGAATCATAACAGACCGAATATTATATTCGGTCTGTTGGATACATACTAGTGCTCACTGTATGCTTTGCAGTTTCACTTTGTTTCAGTTTGCTTTGCATTTGTTTCTGCAAAACATTTCAGTGTTAGCTTCATTTCGACATCAAATTCGGAAAATGAGACAACCAAACCTCGTAAAGTCATGGAGAATACCTTAAACATGCTTATACATACCTAATAATGTACCTACAAACTGTGATTCAGGCAATGTTCACTTTTAAAGCAAAATTTCAATATTTTCCTGCAGCGAAATCTCCATTTTGAATGTTGCATGCTGGGAAAATAATAAACTGGGTCAACCTTGAACATGATGGAAGATATAAATCGGTCAACTCCAAAATCAATAGAAAACACCCGTGGTAAGTTATTTTTTTCATTTTACTTTTTGTTATTTATATCCCTTGTATATTGAACAATATAAATGTGGCTGAATCAAGTCTGAAATTTCTTATAAATGTAAGTATCAGTCCGAAATGCTGGAGCTTTCTAGAAATTTACTGGTGAAAAAATAGGTCAAGTTTTCTGTAAACAAGTTTGTACTTTCCAGTCCGAGACAGTAAACATGTAAACATCAGTAGAATGGTACTCTCTATCTTGACTAGTGATGTTTTACACGGGGTCAACCCAGTTGTCCGAAACCCAGTTTTCCGAAACCCAGTCTTCCGAAACCCAGTTCTCCGAAAATCAGGGGATCTTATCTAAAAAATACGATTTCTTAAACGAAACTGTCGCAACCTCTGCGAATCATGACAGCATAACATTGGAATCACGTTGACATCATTGCAAAATTAGGCTAAATATGCTAAGTCAAGACGTTAATTATTTAATGTTTAGCCTACGAAATACGACCAAATACTTTTCGAACGTACAATAGCAATATTTCTCACCTAACGTCTTCATAGTTTTAGGAACGTATTTTAAACGCATGATAGCCAAATATATCAAGATACTATATCTGCCTAAATGTAGTTATCTACTGTTGACAAAGTTTGAAACATATTTTATCCAGATCCATCAGAAATTAACTTATCCAATACATTACTAGTTCTAGTATCTTGCATGACTCGTTCATAAGAATTCTTTAATTCTACCTCGTTCCTAATACGTCCTCAGACAGACAAGAAATTGAAGTCACACCCATTTGTTTGCGTGACAGAATATGCAACGTAAATTTATACGTAAACGCACTTTCTCTGATTATTGTCAAACAAATACATTTCAGGAGAAGAACATTTAACAAATGCCGGAAACGAATGCCGAAAAATAAATCCCAAGTGATTAAGTTTAGAATGTTTTGTTCTTTTACGATTTGATAAGAGACAGAGACTAAGAAATTAAAGGTGACGAAATATGACAACGTAATATATACGATGGTTGACCCAGAAGTAATGCACTATATGCTCTAACTTTCTTTAATATTCTTCAATTCAGCTGAAATGTTGTGTATATAACAATTGAGGTTTTATCTATTATATCCTGAAGTTTTATATATATTATTAAGTATATATATTAATATTAGGTCTTAATATGGTTGCTATAGCAACATGGGGGTAGGGGTGGGCGGGGCAGGTACCAGTTTTTCTAATTATGAAAAGATCCAAAGTGTTATTTTATTAATATTTCTTTCTTTTAAATGATAAAAGGTTTCGGAAATTGTTAAATTTATTCAGCATGATGTTTACCAAGTACAAATAATGACATTTAGCACTGTCATGTCATAATACCACAGTTCAATAGTCACAAATTCAAATACAGAATTGCAAAATGGCTGCAATTCTCACCTGATAACAGAAGGCCTATTGCGTTTGGTGGCCTAATTTCATACTTCACTTGGACTCACAGCCACGCAAAACTGATGCTACCATGAAGAAAGTATAAAATGAGTACATGTATATACCAGATAGAACTACACTTATGAGATGGCAGAAGAGATTCAAAAGAGAAGACTAGACCCTGGATGACAACTCCAAACATGGGAGGCAAAAACTCCACAAGTCACAGTGGAAGAAATTGCCAAGAGTGTTTTTCCTGACAGGCATCAAAAGTTCATGACATGCAAAGGGCAATATTTTGAGAAAACGTGAAATGGGACACTGTGCAATATATATCTATTAAATCTAGGATGTGCTCATAGTAATTTAGTATCTTGAAATGTATTTTTGAGCAACTTCTAATAGCTACACAAAATGTTATTTCTTGATTAATTATTTCATATTTTCAATGTTTTATTCATTTTGACGTGACTGTATAACCTGCCCCACCCTACCCAAACTCACCAACTTGATTTTATTATAACATCAATATAGTTTTATCAGTCAACATAAAAATTTGTAGAATAATCAAAATGTCTCTAAGGAACATTTACTGAAAATCTCATGGAAAAATATCAATTATTGATAAAGTAAGAGCATATAGTGCATTACTTCTGGGACAACCCTCGTATACTGTTTTATTCTTAAAGTTCTATGCGTTAACTTATTTTATCTGTTTCAAAATGTTTCATTTTATTTTGCCTACATAAAAGAGATTTGAGAAGATAAGATAAACTGTTCCGTAATATATATATTGTGTTTTAGTAACCTTTTTTTAGAATCACAATGTAGAATAAATCGTCCGTTCCTGCCATTCTGCTAACGCCGTAATGGATGCAATTCAAAGTGAGGGGAGAGATCTATGAACATCAAAATGTGTCCATCCCATTAATTTGGCCAAATACATGGCATGAAATTGGCCTAAGCTTAAGTATGTCCCCTTTTCTCTGGTAAAGTATGACTATATTTTTCGGACAACTGGGTTTCGGAGAATTGGGTTTCGGACAATTGGGTTTCGGACTACTGGGTTTCGGACAACTGGGTTTCGGACAACTGGGGTATACCCGTTTTATACAATGATAGTTTGTCCTGTTTTAAATTGCAATATTACGTGGAAAAATACATTCATATGAAAGGTACAAAACGTTTGTACAGTATAAAACACTTATTCTAAAGATAAAACACTTATTCTACTGTGAGAAGTTCATATGGTTAAAATAACGAAATAATGAAATGTTACCATGTGTCTACTTAGCAGTTTGTTCTATGTCATCCATCCTGCTAGGTTACATTGTGGAACGCAGCCAAACACGACAATGAAGGCAACAACATATCGATATTGATCTTAGCAGAATTTTTTGGAAATTTAGATCGTCCCAATTTTGCAAGCTCACGTGACTGATCATGTGACACGTGTCTGATCATGTGACACGTGTCTGATCATGTGACACGTGTCTGATCATGTGACACGTGTCTGATCACGTGACTAGTTACTGTATCGATCATGTGACTTAATGACGTGTCACCCAACCATGTCTTCAAGGAAAACGGTAGTAAATATTTTGGAAAATGTTTAGCAGAGATCACGGTAGATGTTTGCCATTTGCCAATCGCGAATTTTCAAAAGAGGTGGCGAAAAATATGTAAAGGTATTTCACAGTTATGGCGAATTCGCTTTTTTACGGTTTACTCACCAAACAACTTCATAAATGTTGAATTTGAACGACTTTTCAGAAGAAAACTTTTTCGGAAAAATAGATTTCTGGTCACTCATGACGCGACATATATTAATTTTACATACTATGCTATTTCACAGTAGAACCCTATCAGTATTGTGGCGCGTCATCATGTATCTGTATATTCACTTCGGGGTAGTTGTATCCTTCAAAAATGCCTAAGGTATGAGTACCGTAATCCAACACCAAATTCGAAAATTCATAACAATACTTTGCACATATGGCGTTCGTGACCAACTATAAAACGCTTACCCCCCATAGTGTTATATATCAAAATGTACCTGTTCATATAGGGGTTCGATTGATCTACATCAAATTATAGGGAGTCAGGTTACTTTTTGAGATATCAGCGTCCATTTATTGTGACTCGCGTTTGCTACCACTTCCTCAATTCTGATATGATGGGCAAACGCGTAATAAACATGCTCACGTCGGAACTATTTTTGACCTACATCGCTATTTTCGTAATTCAAATGAACGTTGAACTCCTCCTCTTTATTTTGATACCAAATAGTGGCATACTAGGTACCCTAGAAGCCAACTATGGCGTTATTTAGAACAAAACCACAAGTTTTTAAATGGACTATATAGGGGTCATACCTTTTGGCGGATGGATATGGAACCTCATACCCTAACAATCTTAAACGCAAAGTCTGTGAGTATTTTATTCCATTTTTTAAAAGGAAAACAGTCATTAGAATTGTTTAATTTTTTTCGGTCAAAATGGCAAATTCATATTTTGGTTGGCTAAAATTTTTTGGAAGAATAAACCACAATGGCTAACAAGTTTTTTCAACTATCGTGATCTCTGATGTTTTGCGAGCATTTGCTACTGATTATAGAAGGCCCAATTACGCAACGAACGAAACTGCTAAATTGTATTTCATGCCTAATAGGCCCAGTACGCAACGAAAGAAACTGCTAAATTGTATTTTTAGTCTGCTTATTGATCTATTGATTCATAAAGACCTGAAATGATGCATTCAAATAAGACCGCCTCCTAAATGAAAATACTACACATAAAGTGGTGAAAAACAACGAACTTAAGTTGAAAGATCGCAACGTTCGCTACTTTGTTCAATTCCGGAAATCTCCAAGGGGCTGCAAATGGGAATTTTTTTAGATTTAGATTTTATAACCTCAGAATACTGCCTTTAGTGTCGTGTTTGGCTGCATTCCACAATGTAACCTAGCAGGATGGATGACATAGAACAAACTGCTTAAGTAGACACATGGTAACATTTCATTATTTCGTTATTTTAACCATATGAACTTCTCATTAGAATAAGTGTTTTATCTTTATTATTTTTCAATTTCGTTCATTGCGTAATTGGACCTTCTATAATCAGTAGCAAATGCTCGCAAAACATTTTCCAAAATATTTACTACCGTTTTCCTTGAAGACATGGTTGGGTGACACGTCATTAAGTCACTTGATACAGTAACTAGTCACGTGATTAGACACGTGTCACATGATCAGTCACGTGAGCTTGCAAAATGGACGATCTAAATTTCCCAAAATTCTGCTAAGATCAATATCGATATGTTGTTGCCTTCATTGTCGTGTTTGGCTGCGTTCCACAATGTAACCTGGGAGGAGGGATGACATAAAACAAACTGCTAAGTAGATACATGGTAACATTTTATTATTTCGTTATTTTAACCATATGAACTTCTCACTAGAATAAGTGTTTTATCTTTAGACTTCGTATTAGTCCAACAACATTAGACCTAGCCTGGGCCTCGTTTCTTATTTGACATGTCTTATGGCCCTGGCTAGGTCTTACCTCCATGATCATTTTGCCTTTGATG